AAAGAAACATTCTTAAGATTCTTTACCTGGAGAAACTATCAGCAAAGACAAAACTATTTTCAAACATAAAAATTAAAGAGAGTGTATCACTCTTTCACTCTCCCTGGAAGAGTGATTAAGGGAACTATTAAGGGAAAAAGGAGAATCCAGAAGAAAAGATATGGTTAAAAAGTAGCAAGAGATAGATGAAGTATATTAATTAATTTGTGTACTGACTGGAAAAAAGAAGTAACTTTTGGCATGTTTTAAAGAAGGCCTGAAGTAAAACTATAAACAAAAATAGCAAGTACAATAGGAAGGGAAGTATTCAGTGGATAAATCATACTTTATTGTTTTAATTTTATCCCCCGACCCCAGGAGAGAGAGAACAATTTTAGTTTGTTGGAAAAAATATGTGTGTATATTGGGGGATTCAGAAATATAACCTATAGCTCTCAAACTAGCAGAGAGATAAAAAGAGAATAATAAAACAAAGCCAAAAATACCTACAAATGTTAGATGGGTGTAGTGGGGCATGCCTGTGATCCCAGCACTTGGGAGGTTGAGGCTAGAGGATCGCCATGAGTTTGAGGCCAGCCTGGGCTACATAGTGAGTTCAAGGCCAGCCTGTAAGACCCTATCTCAAAAAACAAACAAACAAATAAATAACCCACCCAAAAAACCCCACAGCTTTATTCAACTGAAGTCAAGAAAGGGGTGGGGGTGGGGAAAAATCCCATAGAGAACTACAATGTAAAATATAAAATGATAGATTAGAAATAATTTCAAACATATTAGTAGTTGCAATAATTATAGATTAAATTAGCCTACTAAAATGTCAAACTGGCAGATTGGATTAAAAAAATGCAGCTATATTCTGCTTATAAGAGCCATACTTAAAACAAAATTAGACAAAATAGAATTCTAGGGAAAGAGCTTTCAGGATAAAGGAAGTACTCCTGTGTAACTTGGGAACATGATATGTAGCCATGTTCTTTCTGCTTTTTTCTCTTGGACTTTTCTCCTGAGCAGCCCCCACAGGAAGAGTCTTGTGTCTGCCCAGGGCTATCACTGCCTGTGACTGGGTGGATGGATAATATGTCTAATTCTGTGGTTTAGTTAGGAAGACTCACTTCATGTTCAGAATAATCATTGTATTCCTATGTGGTCTTTATCAGTAAAGAAAGGAGTTGTTTTGACTCCCAACTGCTTTACTCTTTGTTACGATTTTCTTTCTGATTTTGTTTAGAATCTGGCTAGGGAAAGGTGCTTTTTGTTGAGCCCCTCAGACTAGATGATGATAAAGAGGATAGGCCACCTAGGCCCAACAGTCACGGACAGGTACTGAGGAACACAACCTTAAATTTAGAAAGCAAAAACTGACATACATATAGGGAGAAACTGCTGGGTGTAGTGGTGCATGCCCATAATCCCAGCTGAAGTATGAGGCAGGAGGATTGCAAGACAGCCTGGGTGACTTAGTCTCTGTCTCAAAATCAAACAGAAGAAAGAACTGGGGTGTAGCCCAGTAGTAGAATTTTGCCTAGCATTTGTGATGCTCTGGGTTTAACATTCAGTACATAACAACAGCACAGCAGCAGCAGCAGCAGCAGCAGCAGCAGCAGCAGCAGCAGTAGCAACAACAGCAGCAATGGTAGGGTGGGGAGTAGACAAATCCTCAGTTACAGTGGGAGATTTCTTTAACATCTTTCAGAAAATAATGGGTCAAGCAGTCCAAAAATTGCAAGGATATAGAAGATTCGAACAATACAGTGAAAAAATTTAATCTTGTAATTTCTATCCCTACTCTCAGCAAGAGAAAAAAAATCCTTTTCCAGCCCACATATGCAACGTGAAAAGTAAGTAAATAAAAGATCTATGTATTAAGTCAACAAATTTCAAATAGTATCGTATAGTCCCTGAATATAAGACAACTAATTTATAAATCAACAATTGTAGTATTGGGAGCCGGGCCTGGTGGCGCATGCCTGTAATCCTAGCACTTGGGAGGCGGAGGCGGGAAGATTGCTGTGAGTTCAAGGCCAGCTTCTGGCTACATAGTGAGACCCTATCTCAAAAAACAAACAAACAAAAAATTGTGGTATTGAAGGAAACAAGTTTCATATTAAAGCTTCATATTAAAATTTAAAAACCCTTTTAAACAACTCATGGACTAAAGAGGAAATCACAAAAGAACTGACAAAATATTTAGAACTAAATGACAGTAAAAATACTAACCATCAAATTGTGTGGGATGCAGGAAAAGTGGTATTTGCAGAGATGCATGGCTCTAAATATATTTGTAAGAAAGAAGGAAGATTGAATGTGTATGCCTGAAAGCCAGGAAGTTAGAAAAAGAGTAGAAGGGAGAAACCTAAAGGAAATGAAAGGAAATTAAAAAGAAAAGAAAAAAGTGAGAGAAAGGAAAAGTAAAGAATAAAGATGATCAACAAAACCAAATGCTATCTCTGAAAAAACTAATAAAATAGCCAAACCTCCAGCTAAGGGCTGATTAAGGAAAGCCAAAAAGATGCAAATAGTATTAAGCAATAAAGGAAAGGACATACTACTAATAGCAACGAAATCCTAAGAGAAAACCAAAACCAACTCTGATTCAATGCATTTGATGGGTATTTTTATAGAAAAACTTAAACTACCAAAGGTGATTCAGTAAGGAGTAGGAAGCCTAAGCATTCACCACTAAAGAACTATAAAATATCCCCTTCCTATTAAAAACAAAAGCAAAACAAAAAACCAGCAGGCTGAGTGCAGTAGCCCATGCTTATAATCCCAGCTGCTCAAGGGGTGGAGGCAAGAGGATCACAAGTTCAAGGCCAGCCTGGCAATTTAGGGAGAGCCTGTCTCACAATGAAAAATAAAAGAGTTGGGGATGTAGTTGGGGGATGAAGAACAGGGTTGAAAGCCAAGTACTGCAAGTCAAATGAACTAACCCAGATGAAACAAAACAAAAAACAAACAGCAGGCCCAGAGATGTCATAGGGGAGTTTTAGCAAATGTTTAAGGAATAGAAAATCCCTGTATAATATAAACTATGTTAGAGGGCAAGAAGCTATCCCAGAATTTTGTGTGGCTGGAATAATACCATACTATCAAAAGCTGGCATTGGAAGTACAAGAAAAAAAAAAACAATACGCCAGTGTTTCTTTTGAACATAGATATGAAAATATAAATAAACTACTAATCAATTGAATTCAGCAGGATACTAAAAATAGTTTATCATGAACAATTGGAGTTTTACCCCTAGAATGAAAAGATGGCTCAACAGAAATGTAATCCACCAGGTTAACAGATTAAAAATCATATGATTATCTCGGCAGATGCAGAAAAGCATTCATGAAAATTCAACACTTTCATAATGTGCTAAATGAATCAGGGGAACAGGCTAAATTTAGGTGAATCTCTTCATAAACCAGACTCCATCCCATTTATATTTTGAGTAAATCCAGATTTTCAAATATTAGATTTATCTTTTCATACCAGTTCATTTGCATGTCCAAATCCAAATATATATGTAGAAGCTAGGCCCAGTTCTTGGGGAGAATATAAAAAAACCTCACAAACAATGAAAGAATAATGGTGACCTTGACGGTGGCTAATTGCATTTCCCATATTTCAGTGGCAGATGACATTGCCAGACCTGTACTTTAAATATCCACCTACCCTTGGGTACCTAGGCAGGATTCCATTTTCTTACTGTTTGAGTGCGGTGCTTCACGCATGGGCTTGGCGAATACAGGTTGATCTGCCACTGGGGAGACCTGAAGCAAGTGCCCTGTGTGGTGTGACCTCAGCCACCTTCCTTGCTGACTCCGTTTCTTATGGATGCCTTGGTCTCACCCTTGTCTGCACTGTAGGTCCAAACTGAAGACAGTGCATGAGCGGATCCCCTTGGCTGGACTTAGCAAGTTGCCCAGCGTCCCTCAGATTGCCAAGGTAAACCTCAAGCCCAGAAAGAAGAAGAAGGTGGCTTCCTGTGTCATCCTGAACTGGTCTCTGGGGTGGGGTACAGGCCCTGCCCTTGGGGGAGGCCACTTTTCTCTAACACCTTTGACTTCATGGATGAGAATGTTGGCTGTTGGCAGCTGTTTCTGCCTTCCCTTCCCTTCCCTCCTCTCCTCACCTCATCCTTGCTGCATGGTCGCCACCCCAGATAGTTCAGAGCTAGTTTTGGAGAAAAGAGAAGGTGGAAGCTGAGCTGGCCATGGTGAATGCTGTAGGATTTCAGAGGACGGGTACAAAGAGTGGCCAGGAGAGCTTTCACAGGTGAGGACAGGGCGAGGGATAATCCAGACCCGGCACTGCCTCAAGTAAGGAGTTGTCATGGGCCCCATGGGCAGAGGGGCCCATGTCCCTACTTTGAGAACAAGGAGCTTGGTTATGGAATCAGCAAAGAGGGGTGGTTGGCTGGGCTGAGTTGGACCCTCACTCTGGGAACAGGAATGCTAACAGAATTTGTGCCAAGTACCTTTGATGGGAGTTGAGGGGGGTGGCTTTTTAGAATTGTTTATGATCAGAGTGGAGATAAGCCTCGGCCTCCCACCCCCCACTTTATCAGGAAGCTCCCGAAAGGTTAGTTAACTGGTATGGGCATACGTGAGTGAGCAGCAGAGCCGGACTTTGGTTTCAGAGCCCTGATCCTGTCCGTATTACCCTGCCAGTCCTGCTTTCTCTTGTGGGCACAGGAGCTCTAACGTGCTCCACAGATTCGGCCCCTGAACTGTGTGTTTCTCTGTCCACTTAGGCCTTCTGTGATGACGCTGTGGGGCTGAAATTCAACCCTGTCCTGTACCCCAAGGTGAGGACCTTCATGTTCTCCTTTGCCTGTTATCCAGGACTCTGCAGCTTGGCATGGATTTGCACACCCATGGCTTGCTCTGTGGGGAGTTTTCTGCATCATGGTGGGGTTTTCTGGGGTCTCCATGATAAGCCTCTTTCTCTTTCTCTGCCCTTCTTTCACAAAATGGTCCACTGGGAATCCATCCTCAGCGTGCCTGGATCTCTAGCCTACCTGAGTAGGTCCCCAGTTTGCTGTGCAGGTGGCAAAGGGTAGCAATTTGGTAGCTTCTTTACCTCACCAAAGTTGAACCGCCCTGAAGCCTGTGCTGGGGCAGGGCATGATTCTCCCTGTCACTGGGAACTGGTGCCGATCCACTCTGCCATCGTGGAGCCGTAGGGTACCGAGGGTGGACACAGATTAAGAACGGAAAGGCCAGACTTCCACTCCCTGTTGCCCATGTTACCTCAGCTCTGAGGCTTTACAAGCCCCTGCTGGCCTTCATTAATAAACTGGCTGGTTCTTTGATAGTGGTTTTCTTAGCATTCGCCTGATCTTGACTCCAGTTGTGATGTAGAGATGTGAGTTGCAAGAAGCACACTAATAATGAAACAAACCAACACATGCGCTCAAGAATGATTATGGCATGACAGGACTTAAATCACCCACGGATGGAAAATTGCTTGAAATTGGCCACAGGAAAAGATCCTGTGAACTGACTGTGGCTTCCTGAGCCAGCAGGGTCTGGAGGGAGTGAACAGAAGCAGAGCTGTGCTTCTGGGCTTTTGCTGTGGCCCAGGGCTGTGGCTGCTGAGGCTCGCTGGGGCCGGCTGTGTCCATGCCCCACGCTCCAGCTCTGACCACCAGGAACTATATGATGCGTGTCTGCTGGGGAAGAGAGGCCCCCGTCCTGGTGAAACATCCAGAGCCCCCAGGAATAAATGCCTTAAAAGTCCATGACTGGGTGTGACATACTCGGAAGCATCTATTTGTCCCTCTGCTAAGAAGCAGAACTCTCTCCTGAAAAGCTCTCTCCCAAATGAGATTTTAGCCATTTTAGTGCCTGTAGACACTACCAATAATGTATGTGCACCACTGAATGTTTCTTATCATTCAGACTGACCTCTTTTTATAATTAAAGCTGAGTTAGTGAAGTTTAACCACACATTAAAACCCCATCATAAAGACCTAACTGAACTATAGGTTTGGCATTTTTTGTTGTCAGATCCTGTTTACTATGATGTGCATCTCCATGGTTCTTGCTATCACTTGGAAAGCCTCTAGCCCTGTGAATACTAGAAGAGCAGCTGTATTTTTATGTTTTCTTTATTGGAAAACATCTATAACTGTTTAAGACCATTTGGGATGTTAATCTGGCTGAGGGGTGTGTGTGTGTGTGTGTGTGTGTGTGTGTGTTTTAGAAACTTGCAGAGTTTAGAATGTTACTCGGAAGGTCTCCACGGCCTGGTCCCTCTTCCTGGCAGGGTCGCTGATTCTTCCCTTGGACTCATGCCAGGCAGGAGTGAAGGCTCCTGTGCAGCCAGCAGGGCTCTTGCTGGGGATGCTGAGAAGTGTCACTTCCTCAGGCATCTGAGAACAGAAATATGCAGTGAGTAGTAAGCTAACCTGGGCCTCATATTCTAGCCAACAAATTATGCCTGGTTTGTTCTTTGCTGGCATAACACATGGTCGGATCCCTCCTTTTTACTGCAGAAGAATTCCCAACAGCACCTTAAAGCTGGTCAGCTTTGATTTCCTAGAGGTTCATACACGATGATGATAATGATAATGATGATAATGATAGTTGCTCTGTGCTTAGTACTTCATGTGACTGATGTCATGAAATTTTCATCCCTACACATTTCTATTTAACAGAGGAGGAAACTGAAGTCCAGAGAAATTAAGTATCTCACTGCAAATCACATGGATTTAGAGCAGATTCAGAGCTAGAATTGACTTATTTATTTTTTTTACCCCAGACATCAACTCTATGAGGCAAAATGAAAAATTAGATAGAAACACTGGTCAGGTTTCTTTTTTCTCTTTGCATATCTCATCTTATTAAGATGTGTTCCTCTTTACAGACTATTTATTTTATGGATAAAGGGATTAAGTCTGGATAGGAGCAGTGACCTGCTCACAGTTATACTTCTGAAAAGAGGAGGAATTGGAACTAGAACCAGCTTTGGTAGCAGGTTTTGGGGTTCTGGCTTTACTTTTCACGTGATAGAAAAATACTGGGGTAAAGTTCGTTCCGAGTCTCTCTGGACTCTGTGTGCTCAAGCTGTGGTTGGGGCATTTGGATGGGAACAGAATGGTTGATGCAGAGGTTACTGCTGGTTACTACTAGAGAAGCGCCAGTGTTGGGAGCTAGCTAACCTCCTTGGAGAGAGTTGTCCCTCTCTTCCTCGTATGTGTGGAAGTCTCTTATTGGGAATACACTCTGTGCCCAAGAGGGTGCTTCTTTTTTCATTTGCTTCTCTACTTGCTCCACATTAACAAGTCTTGATTGTTTTTCTTCCCCACATTTTCTAGGCCTCCCAAATGATTGTGTCCTATGATGAGCATGACGTCAACAACACATTCAAATTTGGGGTCATTTATCAGAAAGCCAGGCAGGTAAGCACCATGAATCCATATCAATCACTGTATCCTATGGTTTCCCACTGAGGACTCCTTATCTTTCTATCCTAAGTGCAGGAGCCCTGAACTGTGTTCTTAAACAATCTAAATACAACTGTCACATTAAGTATGAATTGGACTGGTGGTGACAAGATCTCCAAGGAAGGCTACTTCTTACAAAAAAGCCTGCAAGTCTTTTAAATGGTGGTTTTACATGGTTGTGTAGTTCTTAAACTGTAGAGTCGGATTATTCCTGGTTATCTTAGTGAAGTCTAATTCTTCCTGGTTATCTCAGCTTCTGTTTATCTATGGCCTGAAAATCAAATTATCAAATTAAGTTGAGGAATCAGATTAGCATAAACTACTTTTTAATTCTCCCATTCTCCCAGCCAGGAATTAGCTTTTTCTCCCCAAAATTCAACAGGGTGCAGGAGTCAGTTGGGTGCATCTCCCTAACTTTGCATTCACTGACATCATGTTGGTAGCTTGAAATCAGCCATAGAAGTATTTATACTATGAAAATTGGCAAGCACCAGTTTCTGTTTCCTGCCCGTATAAAGCCAGTTGTTAGAGCCGTTTGTTAAAGAATTTATGGCATGTCACAACTTCCCTCCTCTGTGTCTTGTAGTACTCTATTTAAGAATTAAGCCTTGGAGTTAGCTGACCAAAATAATGTTTCCTTAAGAAGAATGTGCATAGGAAAGGAAGAAGTCACACTGTCATTATGTGAGGATGACGTAATCCTTTATACAGAAGACCCAAAAAACTCTACCAAAAGACTTCTAAAATCAATAACCAAATTGAGCAATACAGCAGGATATAAAATCAGCACACAGAAATAAGTAGCCTTCCTGTATATTAATAATGAATTTACAGAAAGGGAAATTAGGAAAACTGTAATATTAACAGTAGCATGAAGAAAAATTAAGTACATAGGAATTAATCTAACTGAGGAAGGGAAAGACCTCTATAACAAAAACTACAGCACTGTGAAAAAAGAGATCAAACAAGATGTAAGAAAATGGAAAGCTATCCCCTATTCCTGAATAGGCAGAATCAATGTTGTCAAAATGGCCATACTACCAAAACTGATACATAGATTTAATGCAATCCCAATCAAAATACCAACAGTGTTCCTCACAGAACTAGAAAAAACTATCCTAAAATTTATATGGAATCAGAAGGGACTGAGAATAGCAAAAGCAATCATGGGCAACAAAAACAGGGAGGAAGTGGGATCACAACCCTAGATCTCAATTTATAATACAGAGCAAAAGTGATTAAAAATGGCATGGTACTGGCCCAAAAACAGACATGCAGATCAATGGAACTGAATAAAAGATGAAGAAACAACCCTTGGCACATGAAGTCATCTGATAGTTGACAGAGAAGCCAAAAGCATATGCTGGAGGAAAGATGGCCTGTTTAGCAGATAGAGCTGGGGAAGCTGGTTATACACATGCAGAAGACTGAATCTAGGTTCATATCTATCACATGTACCGAAATAAAATGGATCAAAGACATAAATATTAAAACAGAAACAGTCTGCTGGAAAATAAGAAAAATTCTTGAAGACATAGGCACAGGAAAGGACTTTTTAAATAGAACTCCAGTTGTATAAGAAATAGCATAAAAAATTAACAAAAGGAATTAAACCAAATTAAAAAGCTTCTGCACAGCAAAGGAAACAATCAATAGAATGAAGAGACAACCTACAGAATGAGAGAAAATTTTTGCTAGCTATTCTTCTAACAGAGGACTAATACCTAGAATATACAAAGAATTCAAAAGAACCAAACCACTCAAGAAAGACCAAATCAAAAAATGGGCAGCTGAAATGAGTAGACACTTCTCAGAAGTGCAAGTGGCCAATAAATACCTGAAAAAATGCTCAACATCTCTGGCCTTCAGAGAAATGCAATATCTTACTTCAAGAAGAATGCTATTATCAAAAAATCAGACAATAACAAATGCTGGTGAGTCTTCTGCAATGTTGGTGGGAATGTAGACTTGTACAACCAGTATGGAAGTCAGTATGGAGCTTCCTCAGAAAACAAAAACCAGAAATTCCATTCAGCCCATCTATTCCCTTTCTTAGTTATCGTCCCAAAGGAGTTAGACATCACACCACAGTGATACATGTAAACCCGTTTGTAGCAGTGCAGTTTCTAATGGCTAAATCTTGGAAGTGGCCTGTATATCCAACAACAACAAATGGATAAAGAGAATGAGGTATTTATATACTGTGGAGCACTATGTCACTTTAAAAAAGGATAAATATGGGTCATTTTTAGGGAAATGGACCATAATGTCTGGAGACCATAATGCTATGTGAAATACATTAGACACACAAGCTTAATTATCTCATACCTTCTCTTCATATGAGAAACTCCAAGTACAAATAATTTAAAAAACAAAGTAAAAGATAGGTAACAGGGGACAGGGAGAAAGATAGTTTGCAAATGGGAAGGAGATCTAGAAATGGAGGGAGGCTGCAAGGATGGGGAGGAAAGTGGAACAAAAAGAATTAAGATGTGTTAAGTACATTTACATATTCCCCACAACGAATGTAAACAATATGTACTGCAAACATGTACTAATAAAAATCTATGAAAAACCCCTAAATAATATTTCTCAAAGTGTGATTCCATGAGATATTTATCTGGCAAGGTATTCTGTGAGCAGATGACTTGGGGGAGGGCTGTTGGTTCTGCAGAAACATTATAAAGGCTTTTAAGAATACCAAAGTGACCCCCTCTTTATAACTTTGTTAAACTCAGTGTTTTCCATATTTATTTGCCTGTGAACTTCCCATCTTCCCTATTATAGAGAGCCCTTCCTGGTCCTCGTCTCTGCCCAGGAAGTTTATATTTGTAATCCCATGAAAAATTATTGGAATTCTAGTGAGTTAATTCCAGTCTACCACTTCCAGTGCAGCCCATGGTGAGAATAAAGACACTAAGGCGTATTCGTAGTTATGGGGAGCCAAGGGGTCCTAAGTCCAGCCATGATGATGGTTATCTGCAACAGAGGCCTCCACCCGGGGCCGAATCTTGGTTTTATTAATTCGTGAAGAAGGGAGTGGCTAGAGGATGAGTGACTGTGAGAATGCTGGGAAGTAGGTGAGTGCTGTAAGCTGGGCTAGGGAAGAGGTGTGAAATCACCTCTGCAATATGCGGAGAAGGATATGCAGAAAGAATAGTCTGTATAACACAATTGAGATAGAATCTAATGTTTTGGGGTTAGTGCTTCAGCTCTGATGTGTAATCTTTCAAGCCCTGGGAAGTCATAGCCTCTATCTCAGAGGCTCGATCCCAGCCAGCAGCATGGAGCATTGGCTCACCATCCTGCCTCTCCAAGCTCACACATGGGAACAAATGGTGGTGGTGGTGGTGGTGGTGTTTCTATATGCATTGCCTAAAGCCAATTGAAAGGATAAGGAAAAGTCCCAGCCAGCTCTGTACATATCAATGCATGGAAATAGGGTCAGGTTCAGCCAAAACGGAGACAATTGCTCCTCCTTCAGGGAGAGTTGCCCAGGTAGTCCTCCCCACCCTATCTCTTTTCCACCGTGAACACTAACATTCTAGCAGCGTGCTCAGCTGAACACACCCATGTCTCATCACGCAGGTGCTATGAGAAGACTCTTCCACACCCATTTCATCTTTGTGTTATTCCAGAGCCTACATGGTAACTTTATATAAATACTCTCAGTTGTTACATGAATTAATGAATGAATGGAAATTTTTGCCCTGCTAATGACAGGTCAGTGGTGTTGTCCATCATAATCTGTGTCATTCTTGGCTAGTTAATAGCTGCTTTCCTCGTCCAAAGATATCAGACCATAAGGGGCACATGTTTGCTGAACAACACTCTAATTATGTGAAGAGTTTAGGATATGAAATACCAACACTGGGTGAATCTTATAATTTAAGGGAAATTATTCAGGTAGTCACTCTAATTATTTTCACATATTACATTTTGATTTTGTACAGCTCGGCTAATATAACCCCTCCTAATTAAAGTTCTTTGCTTGTGAAATTTACCGAGACAGATCTTATAATGTGATTACAATCCAGTGTTCCAGCAAAGTTATAATTACTGAGTATTACCATCCATGTCTCAGAAGAAATCTGTATATTGTTTATGTACCTGATGCTGCCATCGGGGGAAAAGCCAAGGAGATAAAACTGTTTTTTTTACACAACTGGGCAGATTGTTGTTTTGCAAACCCACAGCTAGGGGGACACTTAATAGGAGCACTTCTTGTATAAAAGCCGTATGTTGGTCTTTGGATATAAATAAGCCTCACAGAACTCTCCAGTTTGTCATGTACTGGGTTAGGCACTGTAGGGGGATACAGTCATGACTAAGACCCACTCCCTCAAATCTAAGGCCTGTATAAAAATGACAGTGCTAATAATTCCAGGTTGGGTGTGAATCCTGGAAGAGAGGTGCCCACCCCAGAACATACACTGGTTTGTTTTCCTAGTGGAGATTTAGATTGCTGCTAGCTGCAGCTCTCTCATACCTCATGACCTGGGGCAGACAGGATGCTTGGCTAGTATTGTCTGTGAAATTTACCAGTGCGTTGTGAATTGCAGTGGCTTCACGGCACGCTAAGGATCAGGGGTCAGTGAATTTTTTCTGTAAAGAGCCAGATAGTAGAGTTTTTGGACTTTGTGGGCATTGATTGTTATAACCACTTTCTCCGCCTTGTAGAGCAAAAGCAACCACAGGCAGTATGTAAATTAGCTGGCCTGGCTGTGCTCCAATAAATGTTTATAAAAACAGACAGTAGGCCAGACTTGGTCCATGGGCCAGAGTTTGCAGACCCCCAGATTAAAGCAGTATTTTCTAAACTTCAGACATCCACACTCAACTTTCAAGATCTGTCGTAATCCTTGTTCTACCACAGGGCACTGGTAGCAATTTTTTTGTCACACCTATACTATTAACTACTAAATACTTTATAAAGTTTTTCTTTAAAAAAACAACTTAAATGTATTTATTTAACTTATTTAGTGCACTTGTGATGGAAATAAATGTATTTATACCTATATAAAAATAACAAATATATTTATTTAACTTGTGCACTTGTGATGGAAACCAAGGCTTCGTATACTAGTCAAGTGCTCTTACCACTGCGCTCCCTCCCCTAGTTCCTATCCTAGTGCATTTATTTGTAAAGGAAATTCTCAATCTCTGCTTCAACTGAATCACTTGCCACAAAATGAAGGTAATTCTAAAAAAAGAAAAACATTATTAAAAACCAAGCTAACCTTATTGAGATCTACTAGATTTTGTTGCCTATGGAAGGCTTGGAAGCTGAGGTCTGCTGTTGTTATAAAGCAGGCATAAGCGGGACTGGGAACGTAGCCCAGCAGAAGAGTGCCCTTTGAGCACGAGTGAGGCGCTGGGTTCACTCTCCAGCATGGGAAGAAAATAAATAAATAAAAACGCAGGCATTAGGAACCTTTTAAAGAATCTCCTATTGGAGACTTTGTCCTTTATGATTGGACAAAGTAGAGTGAATATTTCTGTCTGCAGCCATTCAATTCAGTCCATGAATTTTTGCAGAGCATTCCTGTGTTTGTAGAGCCTCCAACTATTTGCAGATCCTGATGCTGTGGGCAGAGCTTATTGATCAGACAGGTTGGTCAGTGTTTTAAGTCTACCACTGTTTGCACAGCTTGCTACTGTCATCAGCTTACCTTTCTGTTTTAATTGTTAGATATTTGTAGATTCACACATGGTTGTAATGAATAATACAGAGATCTCAAGTACCGTTTAGCTGCTTCCCTCTTCCAGGGTCATGTCTTACAAAACTATAGCACAATCAGGATATTAGTATTGATACAATCTACAGATACTCACATTTCTTCAACTTACCATGTACATTTCATTCTATGCCATTTTATCCATGTTTAGGTTCCATAATCAAGAAAAAAGAATTCCATCACCACAGGACTCTCTTGTATTTTCCTTTTATAACCTTCCCATCTGCTGCCTGTTCTCCCTGCTTCCCTCCAGGCCCCAGCCCCTGGCAAACATTAATCTGTTATCCAACTTCAAAAAACTTTGTTTCAGAATGTTATGTAAATGAAGTTGTGCAATATATAATCCTTTGGGATTTTTTTCTCTGCTTTTCATTCAAATTTGCATCACTAGTTACTTTTTACTGCTGAGTAGTATTCCATGGTGTGACTGTGCCAGTTTGTTTAACCATTTATCCGTTGATAGACATCTGGATTGTTTCCAGGTTTGAGTTATTATTAGTAAAGCTATTATGAACATTTGTATACAGAATTTGGATTTATTTGAACATAAGTGTTTATTTCTCTGGGACAAGTGTCTAGGAGTACAAGTACTGGTTCTATGGTAATTATGTGTTTAGTTTTTTAGGAAATTGCCAAAATCTTTTCTTGAGTGGTTATTCCCAACATCAGTTTAAGAGTAATCCAATTTCTGTACATCCTTGCCAGATCTGGGGTTGTCACCACTTTTTTATTTTAGCATTTGATAGATGTGTAGTAATATCTCATTGTGGTTTTAATTTGCATTTCTTTAGTGGAAAATGATGTTGAACATCTTTTCATGTGGTTATTTGCCATCTGCATATCCTCTTAGGTGAAATATCTGTTCATGTCTTTTGACCATCTCCTAATTAAATTTTTTCTTTGCTGTTGTGTTGTAAGTTTTTTAATAATTGCTTTATTGAGGTATCTATAGTTCTCATACCATGGAACTTCCAATAGTATATGAATTATGTCTCCATAAAGTGGTTGGTGGTGAAATCACACAGTGGTACAACAGTAACTACGAAATCCCAGAGCATCTTCATCACTCCCCAAAGAAACCTCCAGCTGTCACTCTCCAACCCCCTTCCCTTTAGCTCCTGGCAGCTACTCGTCTGCTTTCTCTCTCTGTAGCTTTGCTTATTCTGGACTTCATACAGATGCAAGCATATGATATAGGATCTTTTGTTTTTGGCTTTTTTTACTTAACAAACTGTTTCCAGAGTTCATCCATGTTGTAGCATGTATCAGTATTTCATTCCTTATTTATGGTCAGATATTCCATTGCGTGAATATATCACATTTTAAAAATCCATTCACCAAGTTTTGGGCGTTTTGGGCATTTTGGGTTGTTTCCACTTGAGGCTGTTGTGCATAGTGCTGCTGATAATACTCATGTGCGGATTTTTGTGTGGACAGTTGTTGTAATTTCTCCTGGCTGTATTCCTAAAAGTGGAATTTCTGGGTCTCATGGAAACTCTTTTTAGCCTTTTAAGGAGCTACCAGACTGTTCCAAAGTAGCTCTATCATTTTACATACCTGAAAGCCACGTGTAAGGGTTCTGATTTCTCCACCTTGTCACCAACACTTGGTATTTTCTTTCTTTTTTATTATGGCCATCCTGGTGGGTATGAAGTGATGTTTCATTGTGGTTTTGATTACTGTAGAGTTTGGGGGTTTACTAATCTTTTGTTGGAAATCTAACTGTTAATTTTTTTATTATGGATTATGTTTCTGACATTAAGTCTTTGAGAACTCTTTGCTTCAGCTATGCCTTTTGCACCGACCTTTGCTTAAATATGCCTCTTCAGCTAGCCCTTAGGACTCAACTGTGTTGAGTAATTCACCCTAGTCTTTCCTCCAATTGAGGACAGCTATGGTGAATGGATTGGCAGATAGGAAAAAAGGTAGAAAAGGACCATATCTGGACAACTCTGTTTTTTTCTTGGCACCAAGAAGGTGTGTTTTGCTGCACCATTCTATTTTTCTTTCAGACCCTAGAGGAGGAGCTATTTTGGAACAATGAGGAGAGCCCAGCTTTCAAGGAGTTCTTGGACCTACTGGGGGACACAATCACACTGCAGGACTTTAAAGGGTGAGTTTTAGCCAAGGGATGGCTGTAGCTCCATGGATGAGACCCTAGAGCAAGGACCAATGGCAGACAGCTCAGTCCTTAAGGAGAGCTTGTGAGAATTAAAAACGCATACATGGAATATGGGACTGTTTTTCAGCATCTGATAAGTACTCCCTTACTGGCATTCCTGAAGAATCAGTGATCTAGGGGATAATCCAGTGTGGCAGGTTGTCTGAAAGACATTGACATTTGGCCTGCAGACTCTTGATGAGATTTCTCCTCCTGAGATTTGCCTTCCTAATTACATTTGGCTCAGACTGAGAGCGAAATGAATCTACCTTCTCTACCACTCACCTGCCAGGCAAAAGAGAGCCTTGTGCAGTTTGGAAGAAAATGACCTCATTTAGATAATGCACCAGGAATGGGTAATTAAGAGTTCATGCAAATATAATAACCCCATAGGCAGGAATTCATGCAGCAATCTGTTTTTCTTTAAGTGGAAGAAAGATAGAATTTTGGGGCTATTTTGATCTCTAGCACTGGAGGAAAAGAGTGGAGAAAATCAGAGAATATTGGGGTGACCGTTTAGAGAACCCTGGCTCTTGATGTTACTTTGAATCTAACCAGCCCTAGGTGGCTGGCTCACGGCTGCCATCCCTCGAATTCCTATACTATCTCCTTCTCAACTTTGGGAGACCAAGTGCTAACAGAAGCTAGCATTATGTGCAAACTACCTAACCCAGTTGAGCACGGTGGTCCATGCCTATAATCTCCACAATCTAGAAGGCTAAGGCAAGAGGACGGAAAGTTTGAGCCCAGCCTGGGTGACTTGGTGAGACCTTGTATCAAAAGGGTTAGGGCGTGGGGTGAATAGCTCACTGTGAAGGCCTTGGGTTCAATCCCTAGTACTATGGGAAAAAAATAAAAGTACCTAACCCAGTTTCCCCGTATGCAGTAGTATGCAGTAATCACTTTCCCCTTCTGCTTCCTTGTCTCTCCTCCTTCCTTGTCTTTTCCCTTTCCCCTCGTCCTCCATCTTCTCCTCTCTTCCAAGTCACCACTGCAGTCTCGAGTCACTTGCACCTGGGTTCAAATCCCTGCTCTGCTGCTTACTGGCTCAACAGTTTTGAACAAGGGACTTTGCCTCAGCCAGCCTCAGTTTTCCCATATGTGAAAAAGGAGATAAAAGATAACACTGAGCCCAAAAAGATTGTTAGAGGATTAAGATAGATAACGCACATGAAGCACTTATGCTAGTGTCACACATTGGTCTTTGCCATTCTGATTGTTCTCATTTTACTGTCTTTCACTGACTTCAAGATGCTGTCATTTATAAGATGCATGCTGATTTGGGTGATATTAAAACGCGAAGAGTGTAGCTGTTAGAATAGATAAAATACAGTACATACACACAGGGATTATGTAATCCTATCCTTTTATGCTATAGAGGAAGGCCACCATGGCCACCAAGAGAGCTTAAGGGCCACAACCAAGGTCCTGTGCTGACTCAGGGCCAGAAGCAGGTATAGAACCTGGAATACCTGGCTACCTATCCAGGATCCTTTGTGCCATGCTGGGCTGAGCATACTTCGGGCATGTATTAAGTGCTGAAGTTCTCACATCCAGGTGATGAAATAGGAAATCCATCTTATTTCATTTCCTTTTTACAGTACTGGGGAGTGAACCCAGGGCCTCTCATTTGCTAGGCCTAGGCAAGCGCTCTAGCGCCAAGCTCTACATCCCCAACTCTTTTAAAAAATGTTTTATTTTGAAATAGGGTCTCACTAAGTTGCACAGACTGGTTTCAAACTTGCCATCCTTCTGCTCTAGCTTCCTGAGTAGCTGGGATTATGGGTGTGTGACACCATGCCAGTTTATTTCATTTTCTGGAAGGAGTCTGCATCTGCCTTCTCTGGGCCTTGCTGAAGAATGTGGTTGGGGGCTGGTGGCTGTGTTTCTGTAAAGGCAGAAAGGATAGATCCTGGAGGCCTGGCCAGTTCCTTCATGCTTTTATTTCCCGCCTGTGAGGAGGCACTTTCCTTGATACCCCCACCTCAGTGCTGCTACAGTTGGGCCTCTACATCAGGACCAGCTGGCTGGAAGCAAAGCATCTGCCACCTTCCTGCTTGCCTCCAGATACCCCTGTGGGCTCCCCAGTGTCCGGCAGGGTGGCTGGTTGCCCTGGCCCTGGACGCATGACTTGGACATGGCCTTGCAGAGAGCAGATGCCTGTGACCAGCCTAGGGGATCACTGGCAATGGGAGGGGCATCTGTCTGGACAGCCACGACTAGTGGTGTGGAGGGAACACAGCTGAGGCTTGAAGTAGAGGTTCTGCCTTTGACTTTTAAGTGCCAGCTTCATAGTCAGGGCAGCAGGGCTGGTCTGCTCGGAACTTATGTCCCTGCTTTCTCCATCTTGTGCTCTTGTCTACTCTCAGCTCTGCTCTGTCCTCCCTTCTACCTGCCTGCCGCCCATCCCTAGAGAAGGTACCACATTGCCCACTTCACCTCACTCTTTTCTCTCCCTGCTCCTGCCCAGTTTCCGAGGAGGCCTGGATGTAACCCATGGACAGACCGGGGTGGAGTCAGTGTACACGACATTTCGGGACCGGGAGATCATGTTTCACGTCTCCACAAAGCTGCCCTTCACTGAGGGCGATGCCCAGCAGGTAACCTGGTTGGGGGTGTTTTGGGAGCCTGGTGCATGACAGGTGCAGCAGCTCAGTGCAGGGTGGAGTGGGAACTGAGCAGGGCTCTGGCTTAGTCCCACTTTGACTCTGGGGAAACTGCAGCCCAGGGTGAGCAGTTAAAAGACATCCTTGAGGGCTGGGGTGAGGATCTGCGCTAGAACACTTGCCTAGCGTGCATGAGACCCTGGTTTCCATCCTCAGCACCAAAGGAATAAAAACTTCCTTGCCATTTCCCAGTTGACTAGGGGCTGAGCTGGGACCGGATCTGGGCTTGTGAGCACATAGGGTGATGGTCAGGGTGCATGACAGGGTCTATGGATGGGGACTTGAAGCCACGGAGCCATTTAAGGCTGTGTGACTCTGGGAAAACTGGTTACCTTGTAGCCGCATTTTTCTTGTCTGTAGAATGGGAATATCAGTACTTGTGTCAGCACCTGTTAAAAGTTTGTGAATATAGAGCTTCTACAATTGATGGCTGACCTGTGACTGGTTCCTGTAGAATAGTTCTTCCCTGGCCAGACCACACTAGTCATTTTGCTTCTCTGCTGCTTAAGTGGTGTGAAGCTTTTATTGCATGAGAATCCTCCCTGCCCCCACCTGGCCAGTTGGTTACAGCCTCGTCTCTCCTGGCCAGTTGGTTACAGCCTCGTCTCTCTTCTGAAACCCACAGCTGATCCCAGTAGCTGTGATGCTTCCTGCTCCTGCCTTTTGCCCCTTTCCTGTCTCTGGCCCAAACTCTGGCCCATTTGATTCTAAATGGGAGACTGGAGAGGGAGCAGGGGCATAAAACTGTAAACATCATGGTTGGTTTCTTAGGAAAAAAAAAGGAGATTGGCAAACAAGACTATGATTTGGCTCCCAAATAACTATTGAATGTCTCAGAAATGAATCAGTGCAGGATGCCTTTTGTAGCCCAAAGTGGGTTTTCTCTCAGCGACTCATCTTTAGTCTCTGTCACCTCACTGTCCCCCTTACCTGCTGCCCCAGCACATGGCTTGTTCTCTCTGGGCCACTTCAGCCTGACCTGTGTTAATTGGGGCATTTACCTGGGCACAGAGCTTGGCTCTCGGCAGGGACTGCATAAACATTGGCTTTTTCAGAAGTAAGGAGGACATGTATGCAGTGAGAGAATCCTCATAAACAGTACCTGGCATGGTGCTTACTATACAGCAGATACTCAGTGTATGGGAAACTCAACATGAAAGAGCCAAGCCCCGCTGCTTGCAGTAGGTCCTTAGTAAAGGTCCTAAGTAAAGGCACATGCAGGAACCCACCAGGACCTGGTGTACAAGAGGGCTTTAACATTTAATATCATAGCTGTGAACAGAATCACAGGATTTCCTACACACAGTCGGTGCTAGGTGGCTGATGTTATATGCAAAAGCCCCTGGCACTGCTTGGGATAGTGAAGCAAGGTGGGACTCCCCCCTCCAACCTATCTTCCCCAGTCAGGTGACATGATCCTTTCTAAGCGTGGCTCTCTGGTAGAATGATCCAGCTCCTGACCTCATCCTTGCTCATCCATATCTCCATCAGCCCCCAATATCCTCTTCCAGGAAGCCTTCTGAGTTGCTCTGATTTTGCCCTTCTGTCTGTCCCCAGAGCTGCCAGGCAGTTCATGTGTAGCAGCTGACTCAGCGCTTGTTGACTGGCAGCTTTGTTAGTGTTCTCAGGTGACTCCTCTTGTGTTTGTGTTCCTCCCAGATCAATTACAGGCTCTCTCAGGGCGAGACCAAGCTCACCTTTTAAATATTCTCTTCAGGTCCTGAGTCAGGGCTCTGCATACTGTTGAACTGAGTAACATGCTCACTAGCTGCTGCCTGACAGCTTGGGCATCTTCACCATATTTTTCCTTCTTGATGGCTTCTAAGGATTGAAAGAAGCAGCTCTCTGGAGATCTAGGTCTCAGAGTTCCATTTTATATTCAAAGGTAAAATATTCAAAGGTTTATATTCAAAGGTAAAATAGTGGAGAATTTCCTGTATAGATTTTTCAGGATGTTCCTAACTGGCTTGTAATAATGAAACACTTTTTGTTTAGCTACAGCGAAAGAGACACATTGGGAATGACATTGTGGCCATCATCTTCCAAGAAGAAAACACTCCATTTGTCCCAGATATGATCGCCTCCAATTTCTTACATGCCTACATAGTTGTACAGGTTGAGAGCCCAGGCGCAGAGATTCCATCCTACAAGGTAAGGAGAAGGTCCCATTGGAGGAAGTTGTGGGGCTAAATACTGCCCCCTCCTTGTGTGTAGCAAAGGACACTAGCTGTCAATAGTATTGGAGTTTCCATGAGTTGTCCTTAGGAACCGTGAGGTTCCTGGGATTTGGAACTAGACTCTTGGTGAGAAGCACCTTCCAAGGTCACCTCATCCATCTTGCTGCCTCCAGGCTTGCATCTAGCTTGAGGGCTCAGAAGTGCTGGGACCCATATTTGGAATCTGATGATGGCATTTGCTAGAGAAAGGCAGATTGATAGGACAGAAAAAAGAGAGAGTGGAAAGTCAGGAAAGGGGAGAGGAAGGATAGGAGAAAACAAAGGGAAGAAAGACAAAGGCGGGTGTTTATGGTCCAAACAAGAGAAAGGGCTCTGGTAGACCCTGACCCCGGGCAAGCCTTCTGGTCTGGCCATTCTAGACAGAGGAGAAATCTCTATGTGAAGACCTCAGTGAGGCAGGGATGCAAGGCCTGTGTTACTGTCCTGACCAGTGAGGTTCAGTTTTTCTTCCGAAGATATGTCGGAAAAAATTGACCAGAATGGAGAACAGTGATTCGTAAAGGTTGGGAAGATTGTGGGAAAGGGAGGGTGGATAAAAGGAGGTTGGATTTACTCAGTGCATGCAGTATACGTGTGTGGAAATAGTGCATAGGCAGAAGGCAACAGCTCATGGTGGCAGAAAACAGCAAAAGCAACAAGAGCAAAAGGGCGGAGCAGCGGGGAGAGCAAGCTTCTTTCCCTCCCTTATATTGTGTGCACACTACCTGCCCCAGGGCGGGTGTAGCACTCACACCCATAATCCCAGCATTGGACCATGGATCATTCATAAACTCTAGAAACCTGCCCCAGACTGCACGAGGCTTTGGGGGGACATCCCGACACAACCATAACAGTATTGTTTGGTTATTTTACTCTTACATAGCAGTGCAAAATTCATGTCAAGTTTTAAATGTGAGATTTAAAAAATAAAAACAAAAAACATCCCCATAAATCCCTCCTGTTGAGGTGAGCTGATTTCTCTGCACACATATCTTTGTGTTTCTCTGGCACTGAGCAGTCTTAGGGGTCATGAGATTGAACTAGAGTGGTCCTTCACTTTATGGCTGTTTGGTTAATTTGTTGGTGGAAGTTCTTCATCCATTGCCTCCACTGTGTTCTATACATCATGCTGAGAAAGAAGGAAGTGACAAATAGAATTGACCTATAGGCCCTTGTTGACCTCAGACAAGGGACAGAGGAGCCAGCTACTGGGCAGCACAAATAGTGACCTTATTCTTTTAATAGTATGTAGGGGCGCTGGGAGTGCTGGTGTACTCCTGTAATCCCAGCACTTGGAAGGCTCAGGCAGGAGGATCGCTATGAGTTTGAGGCCAGCCTGGCTATAGAAGTGATTCAAGGCCAGCCTGCACAAAATAGTGAGACCCTGTCTCAAAACAAAACAAAACAAAACAAAACAAAGACAAAGACAAAACAACCCTCCCCAACCCCTCAAAAACCAGTATGTAGAGGAGCTACCCAGAAGGAACCCTGACGTAAGGAGGACTCAGACCATGCCATGCTTGGCTCATCTGCTGATAGAATGAGGGTTCTTGTGTATGTTTAGTATTTGCTTTTAGTTCCTTAGAGGAAATGGATCTCAGCTAACTGGGTTCTACACTTTTCCAGTTTAGCAGAGGGCTGCACAGAAACAGCAGAGCTCCAAAAAGCACTACTTCCTTCTAGCTTTGATGCTAAAAATCTAGTCTTCCAAGCCATGGTCTGGAGGCCAGGGCAAGGCCCTGTCTTTGGAGAGGTGCCAAGGAGCAGCAAGGCAGGGTTGAATCCTTAGGACATAGGATCTTGGCCTTGCACACCACCTGTCAGGCCAGCCCCCACTCCCCCCAACGGGGGGTGGGGGGATTGGGGCCAGAGAGACAAAGGGCAGGGTGTGAGACCAGCCTTCAGAGGCACCTCCTAAGTGCCTCTCTCCAGCAGTACCCTAAGTGATGTGAAGACTCAGAAAGATCTGGTCAAATCCCTCAGGGATCCCAGTGAACTAGGACCTTAGCTGACCCCTTCAGGCTAGGATTTCCCCAGCGCTGAGCAAAGTCAGTGAGCAACAGGAAGGAAGGATGGGGTGGAATCTGTAGTGAAGGGCCCTAGCCCTATCTCTGACCTTCTGTGACCCTGAGGACCCAATTCCTTCCCTCTCAGGGCCTCAGTTTCTGTCTGTGTGAAATGAGGAAGCTGGCCGGGGACTACCCGTGAGCTCCTTCCAGCCTGACATCCTGCTGTGGGGAAGGAAGAGTTGAAACAGAGAGCGTGTGTGTGTGTGTGTGTGTGTGTGTGTGTGTGTGTGTGTGTGTATGTGTGGATTGCGAAGTGGTTTGGGGGCTGTGCTGTATCTTAGGTGCCCTTTAAAGTGCAGATCAGCAGGAGAAGTTAAAAAGCACCGGGTGATGGGTTTTGCCGCTTGCTTGAGCCAGGCACAGTGTTACAAGCACAATCTTCTTGGATCCTCTCAGCTCTGGCGAGCCCTGTTGTTCCAGGGAGAACACTGAGCCTGGGAGCTTAGCTTCTGTAAGACTTGAAGCCGCAGAGCCAGGGGTCCCTGGAGCTGGAATTCCTGCCCAGGTCTGCTCATAGCATCCTTGGAGCGGGTGGGAAGTTGCCTGCACAAACCCAGGCATGCAGGAAATGTCACATTAGATTATTTCTCAGGTAGGAATTTCGTCCTCATCTGGCCCGATTAGAAGAAAATTCCAGTTTGTGCATCACTAGGACTCCTCCTTCCCCACCTTGGGGTGTCACCCTGCCCTGTTCCTTGGGTCCTGCCAAGGTTTCCAGACTCTCCTATGAAGCAGACCCCTGGGGAGGGGGAGGGCTCTTCTGCTTCCCACCAGGGCTCATCTATTGCTTGGACAACCCCCCACGGTCCTCTAACCTGACAGGCCACACCTGGGCCTGGGGACTCGGTCAGGTTTCTAGCATTCACCCCCTAGGCACATCCTCAGGGCCCCACGCCCAAGTTCCTTCCGCTTTCCAGCCATGAAGATGCTGTTCCTCAGCGCACCTGCTGCCAACACTCCGAGTTCTTGCTGGATTTAGAAACAGGAAGGTGGGGGGCTGTGTTCAGGCAACTTCTGCTTTCAGAAGCAACCCGAACATCCCCCAAAGGAAGGAACAAAGGCCTTGCTGCCTCATTGGAACCGGGTCAGAAGGGGGAACAGCACAAGGATAAAAGATGAATGGATATGGCTAGGACGGAGCTGGCCCCAGGCCCCTGCATTTCTGATGAGCTGCTGCAGTGAGGTAGTCTGGCCAGAAGATTTGGACGAATTTAAGGGTGCGTCTGAAGCCGCTTACCCTGTTGGCACAGACCACAGTAATGCAGGCCTCAAAAGGAAGAGGATGGGTGGGGAAAACAGCTGGGCGCGTTCCTGTCCTTTGTCCCAGGTGTCCCAGATGCCTGCGGTCACTGGCTCTTCGCAGCCCACCCCACTCCCAATCCTGGCTCCATGGGTGGAATTCTTGCCATGGGCCCTCAGTGCACAGTGGGTGGTGGCGGGGAACTGTATTCAGCAGCTGGAGCCCAGCCAGAAATCACGTCAGCCAGCACACACCATTTCCTGAGTCTGGGCACTGCAATTTGCACTGTGTAGACAGCCTTGAGCCTGGGGAGAGAAAGGCCGTATTGACTGACTCACTCCTGCTTCCTCCTCTCTGGACCCTGGCAGGCCCTTTCTTTGGCTCTGCTCCGGAGGGGCTGCCTGCTCACCCGGTCTGGCAGGCTCCCTTCATTGCCCCACTTCACGGGCCAGGGAGGCTGGCAGCAGGCCAGGGCCCAGTCACGTCAGCAGCTGCTGGGGGAAGGGAGCGGGCAGCCTCCTGAGAACCTGGCAGCCTCAGGGACTGGGAGTGGATGAAACCAGGGCACCTCCATGCAGAGAGGAGGCAAGGGTGGGTGACCCCCCTGTGGAGCACCTGGATGCTCTCATTGCGCGGTTCAATCATGCTGGCTTCCGCCCGGATGCCCCTTGCCCTCAAACCCTCGTCCTCAAACCCTCGTCCAGACCCTGGAGCTCAGTTAGTCAAGCCTGAGCCAGACTCGCCAACTCTGTATGAGGGGCGAGGCCCCTGGACACTGGTCCCCTGGCTGTGCAAAAGCTCTGAGGATCGCAGTTTCCTATGCAATCTGTATTTACTTTTTCAGGGCCAGAAGTGAGGCTGATGCTTGGCCAGGCTCAGGAGTCAGTGTGGCAGGGAAAGAGCCCCAGAGCTGGGACGGGAGAGCTCAGCAGTCTCTGTTCCTCTCTGTGGCTCATCACCTGCATGACTTTGAGGGGCTCACTGTGTGTCTCTGGGCATCGGCTTCCTCATCAGTAAGGTCAGGATGATCCTAATCTCGTGCCCTCTCTGTGGGGTTAACATTATGATCACATGAGGTAATACCCCCCCCCACCTCCTGCACTTGTGCTGTGTTATCATCAGGGTCCTGGCTGCCCCTCTTCATCTTGCCTGACTTGCTTCTGGCCTCTAGGAAGGCAGAGGAGAGGATGCACCTGGCTCCACACCACAGCCCCACTTCCAGGAGCGGTGGCTCAGGGCCTGTGCTGGCGATGCTCACAGGGGCATATTACTTGTATTCTGGGAAGTGGGTGGGAGAGGAGGTGAATAGATTTGCTACAAGAAGGTCTCTTTCCTTCTGACCCACACGTGGCTATTTTGTTCAGGTCTCTGTCACTGCGAGAGAAGATGTGCCTGCTTTTGGTCCCCCTCTGCCCAACCCCCCTGTTTTCCAGAAGGTAAGAAACTTCTCCTCTCCCAAGACCAGAGGTTTCCATACTTAAGCGTAGTGTTGGGCTGGGAATGTCAGGGTGGCCCTTTTGCAGATTTTGGGGGATATCTTTATTCTGTCTCTCCTCATGCTGCTGGTCTGGCCCACCAGAGAGCCACAGTGGAGGGGTATTTGATGCCATGCCCCTCTCCAGAGGCTTGAGCAAGCACTTCCTCCAGTCATGGAGATGCTACTATGGAGGGGTGATTTCCCAGGACCAGGGAAGCTTGGTTCCATGTTGGCATATTAGCAGGGGGGCCTTGCCTGGGCTAGAAATAACCAAATGGCAAGGGCTGTGCCCACACCTCCTGTTCTGCCCACCTGTTACTGTGGCTTAGGCCTTTTGGCAACAGCAGAGAGTGGGAGCATTCTGGGCCATCTTGTCTGTTGCAGGGCCCGGAGTTCAGGGAGTTCCTGCTCACCAAACTCACCAATGCGGAGAACGCTTGCTGCAAGTCAGACAAGTTTGCCAAGCTGGAGGTGAGAGCGTGGGTGCTCTGGGTCTCCCTCCAGGCTTCTCTAACCAGCCTCCCTTGGGGCAGGGTCTCACCTTGGGGCTCTTTTGGGGGAGGATTTTGTCACTCTAAACCCTCAGCCTTGTGTTGACCCTGGGAACTCTTTCTTCTTGTGGAAACTCCTTCTTCTTGTGGAAACTCCACCTAGGCTCCAGGTCTAGCTGACAATTCACCAGTAATTCACTGAGTACCCCTTAGTGCCAGGCCTTGTTCTGTTCCCTAGGATACAGGGATAAGCGAGATAATAGAGTTCCCAGGTTAGTGGAGGGGGCCTTATTGAAGATGCATTTTAATACCCCATCCCAGCTGTGGGCCGTGATGGAGCCAGCACTGCTCAGAGGATAGTGTCTGCTTCTGTCTGGGAAGGGGAGACTGATAGTGTATTCAGGGAAGGCTTCTTAGACGGGATGGCATTTGAGATGCTGAATCTTGATGTCCAGTGCAGTTTTTAGGAAGAAAGAGTGGGGGAAGGTTATTCCAGGCATGGTAACAGCACAAGCAAATGCCAGTCAGAATCAGAGCATGACGCCATGCAGGAGCTCCTGAGCGTCTGTTGTGGCCCAGTAGAAGGTTTCACAGGGGGCTGGAGAGGTGGAGGCTCAGCTGCAGAAGGGGTCAGTGCAGAGCAAGAAAGCCTGAGAGTTGAAGGTTATTAGTGCTATAAAGTTCTTAGGTGAGACAGTGTTTGATTTGCATGCTGGAAAGATTACTCAGCAGTAGAGAGGACAGGTTAAAGGGGAAGAAAAGCAGGAAAGGTGGCCAGTTAGAAGCAATTAGCAGGTGCCTAAGAGAGATGATGAAGACTTACATGGGGAAATGGTTTGGATAGGATGGACCCTTGGGGATAAGAGTGGGGGCAAGTGGAATTTCAGGGCAATTTGTGGACCTTTGGCTTGGGCTCTGGTGACCTAGCAATGGCTGGGAGGCAGTTCTGTTAGCACCTGCTTCCCTGGGGTGTCTGCCAAGGCCTGGCTGCTGCAGTGGCTCTTGTTGGTCTGTGTGAATGGCGCTCCCTGGAGGCTGCATGTGTGGCTTTGGGCAGACACCTGGCTGGAAAAGCTGTGGCGGGGGTGTCTCTGCCCCGGGGAAAGCTGTGTGAGTTGGGGGATGGCCCAGGGACAAGGTGCAGAGGAATGAGAGCAGAGGGCTGTGCGTAGAGCATTTGCTTTAACAGCAGCATTTGTGAGCATGAAGTCCAGTCTGGCTCTGCGTCTACCCTGTGGCAGGGATGTGGTAGCAGACTAGCAGCCCTAGACCTCCAGGAGGAGCGCATCTCTGCTGCCAGTACCAACTTCTCCACTTGTACCCTGTTCCCTTCTAGGACCGGACCAGGGCCGCCCTCTTGGACAACCTTCATGATGACCTGCACACGCACACACAGGCCATGCTAGGACTGGGTCCTGAGGAGGACAAGTTTGAGAATGGGGGCCATGGGGGCTTCCTGGAGTCTTTTAAGGTATGGATGTCGGTGGTGGTAGAGGGTTGCTGTGTCAGGGAGGAGTGGGATAAGGAAGGGAAGTGCCCTGAAGTCCCTGAGATCCCAAGCCTAGAGCCAGGATTCCAGGGCTGGTCATAGGAGAAAGGACTAACAGGAACATGCCAGGTGTTTGGAGAGGGCAGGCTGGGCAGGAGCATGAGAGGTTGGAGCAGCCAGCAGCATCTGTAGCATCCTCTGCCTCCATCCTTCTGGCCCACACTCTGATAAGAAGGGACAGGCACCAGTGAGAGAGGAGCCAGTGTGTCACTGCTGTCATCTGCCTCCTTCTCTGCTGGGGAGCTCAGGGCTGGGTGGCAGGAACAAAGACACAAGCCTTGGGGGGTCCTCAGAAGCTTATATGGGATGCTGCAGTAATTCGTCCCACCTGGAAAGGTCCTGGAGACCTGGCTGGGCAGGTGGGATAGAGACACAGGCAAGTCCTTTTGGGATTTGCAAAGGGACTAAAAGAAGCGGTGAGCTTCCTGTCCCTGAAGTATCCGCAAGGAGCATGGACAGTGACAGAAGTGGTGTGGGAGAGAACGTTTGTCGCGTGCTGGCTGAGTGCTTGTTGGTCCCACTGCACATATATCCAGCATCTGATTTGAATCTGGCAGTTGGCTGGGTGGTTATTTCTTGTTATTTCCACTAACACATGCAGGAACTGGCTGAGAGAGGCCACAGGATTTCTCAAGACCTCACGCCTTGGAGGTAGAGCCTTGTTTCCCATCCAGGTTTGCTGATTCTTAGCTCAAAGTTCTCTGGGTTGACCATCAGAGAGCGGTTAATCAAGCTACCACGTGGGGCCCCTTGTGAGTAGGGTTAGGATTCGATCTTCCTGTTTTCAAATCCCAGCTCTGCATGGCCCCGGGCAAGGTCTTTAAAGTCTCTAAGCTACAGTTTTCTTGCTCATGACACTGGGATGATAAATTTGCCTTCTGTCGCAGAGCATTCACTGAAGTAATGCCTGGAAAGTACATTGCGTGCAATGCAGTAAATGCTCCAGAGTGTTAGCTGTTATTGTATAAAGTGAGAATTTACACGTTATCCTACTTTAAATCTCCCACTGCCCTCGGTGCCCTATGGGGAAGGCTGTTATTATGGGTATAATACTCTTGGTGTAATAATTCAGCCTTACTTTTAATGATTATGGGCATAGTTTTACGTGTGCAGAAACTAAGACTCAAAGAGTCTAAATAATTTGTCCCTAGTCACCCTGGAGACAGAGTTGAATTCAGGTCTCCCAGATTCCAGAGCTTCTGCTCTTAACAGCTATGTGATACTCCCTCCCAGTTTCTGACTCAGTTAAGATTCCACTCATGTTGGCCTGGGCCCAGGCAGGCCTTGGGTCAGTCCCCCATTGCCCGGTTGGATGGCTGAGAGCAGGGAATGGCTCTGCTGGCCTCTCTGGAGCCAGCTGCTAAGCTGGGATGGGGGAGCTGCTTGTCCAGGCTGGTGGGAGATTCCTGGGGCATCTGTTCTAGTCCTGATGGACAGTGGCAACCAGAGTGAAATAGGAGAAATCTTTAGGGGATCAAAATAAAAGAGGGATGAAGGAGAAAAGGAAGAGGGGAGGACAACATAGGTGAGAGAGGGGTACATAGTTTTTTTTTTTTTTTTTTTTGGTTTTTCTCCAGTACCGGGAACCAAACTCACGAGGTTGTGCTTGCCAGGCAGGCGCTTTGCCGCTGAGCTAAATCCCCAGCCCCGAGAGAGGGGTACATAGGAGACCTGGTAATAGGAAAATGGGTTTGGGTCTAAGGGAGGCAGGTAAACAGGCCCACTTAGAGCCCTTTCAAGGCTTTGGACTCTTTGGGAGGCCCCACCCCACTTCATATCAAGCGTAGTAACACGTTCCACATCCCACAGCAAATGTAATTTGTATAAAACTACCGGAGTTGAGCTGCACTGACTAGCTAACACAATGATCTTTGTACACATTTCGTGAAGTACTTACTGCTTTGAGTTTTGCATGTTTCGCTTTGTATTTTGGAATTAACAATGGTGTTTTCAGTTTTCAAATATTTTTGTAACTTGGAGAAGCTTGTAAGCTGTGGATACTCTGTCCATGATGTCCAGTGGATGAGATGTTCCAGCTGCTAAATTTGGTGGTGAGCCTAGAGGACAGTGGCCTGAAAGCATTTTGCCTGGTCCCGTCTCTGGAAGGAGGGGCACTTGATGTATGTTTGACTCTAGAGTGTGTGTTGTACTCCTGAAGGGATTTCCTAGAGAGGAGTTGCTTGAGGCTTTATCATGACTCATCTTGGAGCCAACAATCCAGGGAATTCTTCTTTTCAACCCTAAAATCCTTACACCTGTAGGTTGAAGACAGACCTGTTTTTGCATTTGGCTGGCTCACCAGCCTCCAAGGTCACGCTGTGAGGGACGGAGAGGACTGTCACAGTCAGTCACACAGAGTAAGCCATCGGAGCCCTAATGATCATGATCAGCTTTTTTCTCCTCCCAGCTGGGGAACACAGGTTCTCTTGCCCTGTCCCTGTCAATATTGCTTTCATGACTCCTAGAGGGAGAGGCCCGAGCAGGGGGCAGGCCAGGTTCTTCCCCAGCTCAGGAAGCCACCTCTAGCTTTGTTTTCTCTTCGTGGGCATCTTGCGTAGACCTATGGTGTCAGAGTTATTGGCATTCCTCATAGAGTGCACCCAGATACTCACAGGACTGCTCTTGAAGTGGTGCCTGAAATGATTCTAGGAAGAAAACTTGTGCTTTTTAATTTATCTCCTTCCTGTCAAAGGCCTTATCTCACAGGCAGCTGGGCAGATAATTGAGAATTCCCAGGGATGAAAGTCATTGCAACCATCCATCCCTTCTCTTCTTCTGGGACTGCTTTTCTTCTTCCTAGAGGCCCATGACCCTTTGTACCCCAAGAAGCAGGCCCTCTGCGGCCCTTGACTGTGCTGCCTGCACCTCATGCCATGTGGAGTACTTCCTCACGTTTCACTTCAGTTCCACGGGGTGTAATTGAAGATTTTCCTCCATAAGACCCGGACCTGTTGGGTCGCCCGTGTCTAGACCTGCTTTTCAGAGAGACCTACTTGGAGGGATTCTCAGGAACCTGCTAGTTCTACCAACACCTTTAAAGTTTGTGTTTTCATTTAGATGCTAATCTTAAAAATATATAGATTTTCAATGGTAAAGACTAAACCTTTGCAGTGGTGACTCATGATTAAAAGATATTTGTATGGAAAAATAGATGAATACCGAGTCAGCATTGCAGATGGAGCCCATGATGTGTGTGTGTGTGTGTGTGTGTGTGTGTGTGTGTGTGGGTCTGTGGACATCTTCTTGCGAGTTTTCTTTATAAAGGAGCTATAAACTGCTCATCTGTGAAAGGTATTGATCTCTAGACTATTGTTCTGAAATGCTGTTCTCAGCCCCTGCCAGCTGTTCACCAAGTTTTTACTGCTCTGTAATGGAAAAGTCACAACACGTGATGTATCCATGCAATATGGGCATAAAGTGTGTGTGTACCACATATTTAGAACCACTGAAGTTGCTCAGCTCTGCACTGACCTCATTATACAGGAATGGGATTGGAGGACAAGGACAAGGACGAGGGAAGACAAAACTGGGAACACAGCAAGCTGAATAATATTTCCCAGCCTTTGAGGGACTATGGTAGTTAATGTGTTGGCCTGACCTGACCCCTAGTGGCAGAAGAGGCCACAGACATCCCTGGGAGGTAGAGGCAACCCAAGTAAGTAGTGGCTGTGATGGTGGATAGAGCGCAGTAGGCCGGGCAGAATCCGTAGCCTTTGGCATCTTTGCTTCCTCCTTTTCCTCCCAAGACAGGAAGTTGTAGTTCTAGAATGGCCCCACTGCCTTTGGGGTTGGAGTGATAGTTCAGGCCTTGTGCTTTATACTGCTTAGAAGGATGGTCTGTGTGATTATAGCTATCACCTTGTCTCATATTTGCCCTGCTAGAGTGCTAGACTTCAGAGTTCCCCCAGACTGGAGCATCTCAGCAGGCAGGAAATTCACATCTTTGTGTCCAAGAGCTCCTGCCTCCCTTACTTGCCTGATTCTGATAGCCGTGTCCCCTTTGGTGTTCGTCTCCTTAAATTTTCTCCCTTAAGTTGAGTTTGTTAAATTGTGATGACTCATAAACCTGCTTGTAAGGAGATGAGTAGTGTGGTTGGTAAGGAAGAGAATTTCTCCCTTTGTGGTACTAATTGGTGCTCAAACTTGGGGTGGAGATGAGGCGACATACATAGGTAATGAGAAAGCAATGCCATCTCCCTAGTCTCAAGCCCCCAAAGGAGAGCTTATTTAAAGGCAAATAGTGAGGTGTGCTGGGAGGCTGATGAAGCCAGGAGCTCCATATATAAGCGAGGAATACAGCAGAGTCTGAGGCCAGCAAGGAACAGTCATATGGAATAATAAAATAGACTGGCTCAAGAGGTGTAGAAACTGAGGTTTCAGCTTGGTACACAGAAGGTCCACTGTCAACCAGTAGAACAGGCAGCCTTGAAGGCAGTGAGTATTCTATTCCTGGGTGATGTGAGCAGAGGGCAGATGCGATTTTCCAGGGAGAGACAAGGGACCAAGGACAGCCATGCGGCCACTGGAGACCTCCCAAAGCCAATGCAAAGGCTTCACAGGCCTGTCTTCTCTCTGGCCTGTCTTTTCCATCACCATTAGTCTTCTTTCTCTTCCTCCTGGACACTGCTAGTGCTTCTGTGCAGTTGTCCATCAGACTAAAATGTGAAACTGGCCAGTTTTATCCACATCAAGTATTATTGTTAAAGCTTAGGGCCAACTGTCACCTCTCTCACTAAGATTGGGGCAGGGGTACTGATCCAAGTGGGAGGGTCTCATGCCAGGTGTTGGATACACACTGTGTCCTGTTGTCCTTGTGACACCTTCTCCAGGGACCGTCACCATCACTGTACAAACGTGTCTCAGAGGTTCGCCTGCGGAGCAACGAGAGGACTAGGATGCAGCCCCTCCCTGTTTTCTTCCATCAGCCGACTGCCGCCATGCTCATTCCCAGAATTCCCCGTTGTCTCCTCATACTTACCTTGCTGATTCTGACAGCAGAACCAAGGACGTTTGAAGCGGTGTTGTTCTCCTTGACATCAGCCTCTGAGTTTGTTTTTTTTGGGGGGAGTCTTTGAAGCTTCCTGGTTTCTAGTCAACATTAATTCACTAGTGGGTTGAATTATATTTTCAATCTGAGCCATTTTGGGGAAATGCAGGGTCCTGGGTTTGGGTCCTAGATCACTCTCCATCTCTTACCTGCTTTGTGGCCTTGGGCCATCACTTATTTAACTTTTGAAACCTTTTCTCATCTATCTTCTCTGTACCTCAGTATTATATAGGTTCCATAAGATCCTGTCTGTGAAGCTCATCAGACCAGATACCAACTCACAGGCTTTATTATACCCATTGAATCCTTTCTGGGACACAGATAGTGAGGAATTTATCAGAATGCAAGTGAGGAGTTTGGGGCCGGGCTGTGGCCAAGTGGTCCACATTTTATCCCTAGCTCTGCAAACAGGAAAAAGGAAAGTTTTGGTTTAGTTTGAAATGTCACTTTGGATGGTGATGGTGATGGCGACACATGAGGACCCCAAGGAGGATAAATATGCTGAGATGGATGGTGCTGTTCACGGACACGTTAGGGTGCTGCTATATCTTTTGGCCCTCAGTTTTCCAGAGGGCGTATAACTTTATGGTGCTTTGGGGTGGCAGGAATTGAATGTGGTTGATGTTCCAGCCGTGTGATGGGACACTGTTGTTTGGAATTATGTGGAATAAGTAGATAGGGCACAAAGTCAACCTTGGAAATGGAGCCCACTCTGTTCTGTGGTGAGGAAAGGGAGGGAAGTGATGTCTTTCTAGGGGCATATTTGCCTCAGACAAGAGAGGCCAGATGATATTGGAGGTGCATGGTTGGTGGGCTCCATGCCTCATTCTCCCTCCGTATCTCATTTCAGGTGCTGTCATTTTACAGATGGTCTTTCTGAGTCTTCTTTTCTTGGCAGGATAGAGGGGCAGGCAGGTTGTTCCCAAGGTGGGAGAGTTCCTGGCCCTGAGAGGTCCTGGGGAGACTTGGGTTCGGAGTGGTGTTTATGTTGTTTTGCTGGGACCACCTTGCCAGAGACTGAGCTCTTCCCTGGATGCTTCAAGGAGGGAAGTGGTTTGTTCCTTCTCTTGAGACATCTGTCAGCTGGTATACCGGGTGTGTATGTGGGGGGTCCAGAAAGGAAGGAAACAGGCTCAGTCCTTTATGTCACATTCTAGAGAATACCCTCCCCTGACAGACTCTCACCACAGAGAGGAAGGCCCGTTAGCTCATAGGATGAGAAGATACAGGTAAGCTGTGGTTCAGTTGGTCATGGGCATCCAGCTTCTTTTCCTTCCTTCCCTCTAGCTGGTCAGTGTGCTCCAGGAGTGGCCCCGAGATGGCTGCTGTGGGTTCAGGTGCATCTGTTTTGGAAATCATGGAGGAAACCTCTCCCCAAAGCCTCCAGCAGACATTCCCTCATGTTCCACTGACCAGATGCTATATTAAGTGACAACCTTAGACTGATCATGACTTATCCCTGTAGCCCATGGAGGAGACTAGACTAGTTCTGCCAGCAAGGAGAGCCTGTGGCAGAGGATACTTGTATGTGAACCATTAATAATATCTGTGTCCAGAAGTCCTTGCTCTGGGGTGCCCTGAACAACTAATTAACACAGACAGAGCATCCCCCAGAGGCCCTGGGTCTTGTGTCATTGCTCCAATCTCAGGACTATATCTTCTGTGCTCCGTGGAGGTAGGGCCACATCTTGTATTTCTTTGGCCTCTGGACTGAAGTTCCGGGTCCTGGCATGGGACTGGACACACAGGAAACACATAACAAATGCTTGTTATTGATAAGAAGAATACCCAGATTTATTAGGTCCTTGCAGTGCATTGGGCTCTCTCCTAAAAGCATGATATGTATTCTCACGACAGCCCCACGGTAGACATCCTCCATCCCATTTTACGGATACAGCTCAGTGAAACCAAGTTACCTTACCAGGGTACCCAGCTAGTGGGTAAGGGAGTAGAGAGCCTAGGTAGGTATAAATCCTGGCAGTGCAACCCTAAGGCTTTATTGCGTTTGACTATCAAGTTGCATGGCCATTGGCTCTAGTATTAAGTGATTGGATGACCAAGGAGTGGTGATAGAGTTTGGAGGTCACTAGAGAGAACCTCCTCTTCCTAGAATGCTAGAATTTGAAAGAGAGCATCATGCGTGTGGGGGAGCCAGAAGACCCTCCCTTAAGTGGAGCTGAGCTCTGCTGCACCAAAACCACTCTTCTGTGGTCCTGTGCAGAGCTATGTCACCTTATAAAATAGTCCGAGGCTGTGGCCGTCACCCCAGCTCCATTCCCATTGTGGGTTCAGTGATCTTGTGCTTTAGCTTTTGTCTCATCCTCTCATGCACTGTGACAGACCTGCCCATTGTGCTGATGCTTTCCTGGACACGTCACTATTTCCAGCATGCCCCTTACTCTTTGGTGGTCCTAAGTGGGTACACGTCTCCACGTACTAGAGCAACTCTGTGCTCTTGAGACCTTGCCCCTGTGCCCAGTCTGAGCACACATCTCCTCTTTCAGCAGCCATGCAGACAACAGCTTGGAGTGAAAGTGTGTCTTCAGCCCCTACAACCACAGGGAGCGCTTGATGCGGATTTGATGCATGGATGAGCAGGAACTCCTCATCCAGTTTCACCAAGGGCAAGTGTAGGCACAGGTGCTCAAAGTACACTTTGGGATGACATCAGAAGAGGGTCCAGTATGGACATTTGAAAAGAAGTTTAGTTTTCTGAAAAGAGAGTCAACATGGAGTCCAGAGCCTGTTTAATCCCACCTTGTTGCTTGGTAGAATGTATGAGTCCCCTTTACAGAGGAGGAAGTTGATAGCTGGACCCGTGTTACCAGATCTGCTAGGCCCTGTGCCTCACTTCCCTCACCTGTAGGATGTTCCACCTTGTAGGGACCTGGGGCCTGGACCCCTCAGGCTCCCTTCTGACATACTGCCTCACCAGAGCATGGGACAGAATATGGGAAAGCTCCATAAACTCTAGTGACTATGGCATGGGTCTCTGTGACTGTGCGTGTGCTTGTTGCATGTGTGTGTATGTGTGTGCATATGTGCATGTATGAATGCATACATTCCAAGAGCAGGGTCCTCCAAGGGAACCCGGTGCTGACTCCCTGGGCCTTTGCACCCTGCCCTTCTCTCTGCAGAGGGCCATCCGTGTGCGCAGCCACTCCATGGAGACTGTGGTGGGCAGTCAGAGGAAGCTGCACAGCGGAGGCATCCCTGGCAGCCTCAGTGGGGGCATCGTTCACAACAGCATGGAAGTCACCAAAACTACCTTCTCGGTGAGTACAGCAGAGCCTGGGCTAGCATATGAGGTCAGGGGAGAGTCCCCACAAAACCTGTTTAGGAAGGGCCAAGCAACTAGAGTGTGGCAAGCTGGATGACAGGGAGAATATGAGAAATTGAGGCCTGGGGGTAATCCAGCTTCTGCCCATGATCTCTGGAGCCTCTCTCTGTCTCAGGTAGCACCTGGGGATGGCTTGCAAGAGAAACCTATTTGTTCTGTGACTTTCTTTGACAACCCAGTCTCCAACCCTGCCAAATGGTATGGGGTGCGTTTTCCTGCCCAGGGCTTTAAGACTTGCGACTGGGAGAAGGGTGCCCTTTCTTTGTTATTATTAATGATAGTAGTAACCACCTCAGTTTGCAGTTCACCAAGCACAGAACTAAGTTACTCATAGATTAGATCTTACCTAATCCTTGTCCCAGCTGCCTGAGGCAGGTACTAGAGGGATTAAATAACTTGCCAAAAGTCACCCGGCTAAGCTGAAGAGCTGGGATGTGATTGTAGATTTCCCTGATTCAAAGTTTATTCTCTTCATCACCATGTATACAGTTCCCAAAGACAGAGTCTGTTTGGACCTGTGAACTAGGCCTGATTGATTTGTACCAGGTTCTGGGCAGATGAGAGAACCACAAGAAATGGACTTGTGTGGACTAGAATTTCCTTTTCATCTTTTAAATAGCAGAACAGACTTTCCATGATACTAATGATTCTTGTTATAAATGGCCTTGCACAATTAATTTAATTTGTCAGATATTTTTATACCTGTTACCTTGTTTTTCCCAGAAGGTTCATGATACAAACAGAACAGGGCATTTATTTCCCTTCTGCAGATGAGGAGACAGGCCCAGAGGGTTTTGCCATTTGTTTATAGTTGTACAGCATGTGAATGGCAGAAATTGGGGCTTAGGTTGGAATCCTATTGGGCCTAAAGATTGGCTCAGGCTCCCACCTCCCTTTCCTCAAACTTTTCCTGCTCCACTGTACACCTGTGAGGCCAGGCAGCTGTTTGAAGCAGAAACCTTGGCTGGCTCTGCACTGCCTGTTGGTGCATGTGGACCTGAACTGTGAGTCTCACTCCATGTCATTATTATGAGTCCTGCCTGGATCCACTTGTTCATGAGCAGTGGACGGAGTGTTAGGAGCCCTGGGGGCTCTTGTCCTCATTCTGCCAGTGATTTTCTAGCTGACCTTGGCAAAATCGCCTCCCCTCTCTGGGCCTCAGCTTCCTCATTGGTGAAATAAAAGGTCGAACCAGGTCACTCCAGGGTCTCTCTAGCTTTGTGGTTCTCAGCCTGTGACCCTTGAATCATCGTGACCTTCATGATGTGTGGGGCTCCCACATGGTGGCCCTGACTCCCTGGTGCCCCAAGAATGTGGCCATTGTTGGATCATTACCCGGGGCCAAGGGCTTGGCTTTAACAACTCAGGAAAAGAATCTGCCAGTAGCTTGAGTGTTGGGGTCTCAGCTCCTATTACATAGACCCTACCCTTCCTAGCTGTCTTGCTCTTTTCTGAGGTCTCCTGCAGAGCAGGAGCCATCTGTAGACCAAAGAGGAGGAAAGGACGGAGGCCTAGGTTTGGGGTACGTGCGCTTACTTTGGCGATTTCATTGACAGCCTCCAGTGGCAGTAGCGACAGTGAAGAACCAGTCTCGGAGCCCCATCAAGCGGCGGTCGGGCCTCTTCCCTCGCCTGCACACAGGCTCTGAAGGCCAGGGGGACAGCCGGACACGATGGTAACTGCCAGGGCCCCTATTGCAGCCCAACTTAGAGTCTGTCGGTGCTTTGTACCTCAGCAGGGGTCAAGTGCCCACCCTTGGGGAGAACGTTGCTTGGCTTCAGGAGATGGCTTCCCTTTCACCACAGTCTCACTTTAGGCACCTGCATGGCCTGACTCTCAGCTCTTTAAACACTGAGCCCAATCTGGCCATTCTTTACATGGAGCTTCAAAGGTGTTCTTGCAGTGTTTTGACCTAAGCTAGAAATGGTGTTTGGGTTCTTGTCTTTCTTTGCCTTCCTTTCAAATGCTCACTCAGATGCCCTTTTTTGCAATACTGGGGATTGAACCCAGGGCTTTGTGCATGTTAGGCACTAACTATACCACTGAGATACACTCTCAGATCCCAAAGACCCCTCTTATGGAAGCCTTCCCTGACCCTGGCAGGCAGAGTTAATTGATTTTCTGGACTTACTAGAATGTTCTTTCTGTATAGGTTTTTTTAGTAACTCTTATATTACAATGTACTTTAACCTCTTCTTGCTAATTGTCTTTCTGATCCTTTAATTGTTGAAGCCATTTGTTCTTTAATTCAGCAAGCAACATGTATGAAGTGCCTACCATCTGTTGGGTGCTGCTGATTGTTCAGTAAGAACTGCCAAAGACACACAGCAGCCCTCTAGCTCACAGTCCTATGATGAAAAATGAAAGACACTTAGATGGACTTGCAAGTTGTCTGCCTGTGGGCCTGAGTGGTGGTCCCATGCCTTGAACAAGGGCATGCAAGATAAGGGGCGGATTTATAAAGAAAGACCAAACTCTCTGTTTAGAACCTGTGCATGAGAGATGCCCAGCTCTTGAGTTTTGGACAGAGGTCTTGGTTGGAGAAGGACAGCTGGGTAGAACTAGAGTACAGGTGCTGATTACAGAGAGATGAACCAATGAATACGATCACTCAGAGAGGGCGTGTGGAGCCCTAGCATGCACGTACAAGTGAAGGATGGAGAACTGGTGAAGATGCTGGAAGGAAAAGACAGAAGGAGAGGATGCGGAAGACAAGGTCTCTGAAGCTATGAGGACAGAAATTCCATTAGGGTCTGATGTACAGGCAAGAGACCCAAAGCCCTGTGAGGGTTGAGGGTTGGCAGTGAGGAGGTCACTAGCAATCTTATCATGAAGTACATTGAGGCTGCTTAACACCTCTAGTGTGGCTGTGAGAAAAACAAGAGCTGCAAGTGGCAGGGTATGAAAAACTGGAGCTCTTGTTCATAGTTGGTGGGAATGTAAAACAGGGCAGACTTCTTTGGAAAACAGCTGGCAGTTCTTCAGCAGTTTAAACAAAGAGTTACCATAGGACCCAGCAATTCTATCCCTTTGTATCTGCCTGAGAGAATTGAAAACAGTTGTCCATAAAACTAGTACAGTAGCATAATTAACACACATATCCATTGAAGCATTATTCTTAATAGTCCAGAATGGGGCCAATCCATATATCTTATCACTTGATGACTACGTCAATAAAATATGGTCTGTCTATAAAGTGAAATATTATTTTGCAATAAAAAGGACTAAAGTAGTGATGCATGCTACAACGTAGGTGACCTTTGCAAACATTATGCTAGTGAAAAAAGCCATGACACAAAGATCAGGACATACTGTATGATTCCATTTCTGTGAAATGTCTATACCAGGCAAATCCATACAGACAGAAAATAGGTCGGTGGTTGCCAGGGGGTGAAGGGGAGGAGGGATGGGCAGTGTTTGCAGACGGGGCCAGAGTTTCTTCTAGGAGGTCTAAAGATGTTCTAAAATTGGATTGTGGTGATGGTTGCACAATTCAGTGAATAGACTAGAAACCACTTACTTGCCCATTTTAAATGAATGAGCTGTGTGGCATGTATATTTTATCTCAGTAGTGCTATTGTTTTAAAAAGTACACTGAGGACAGAGTTGTCATGTCCCCAGCAGGTGGCACAGGGTAAATGGTCTTTGTTGAACTGCAAGAGAAAGGAACTCTTGAACTCTTGTGCTGAGAGCAGCCTTTGGCTCCCAAGCATTTAGAGCCACCTTGCCACATGGATCCAGAGGGGCTCATATTATAGTTTATATGTAGGGTGTCTCCAGAGTCATATGCAGGCGGACTTCCTGGAACCTTATAGGAACCTATATATTGGGCCATCTCCTGAGCAGAGCCCCCTGCTCCCTATGGGGACATTCACTGTTCCCTGTGGGGTCCTCTCTTGACCCAGGTGGGGCAGCCAACTTGGGGGAAGGGGGAGACTTGGGCTAGAAACCATCAAGCCAGGGCTCCTGTGGATAATTCTGAATCCCGCACCCTTGAACCGAGAGAGGTCCTTACCATAGGGAACACAACACCTTGTTGTCTACTGTCGTTCCAGGAGCTGGTGTGGGAAAAGAAGTCTGAGCAGCTGCACTTTGTATGGAGTGCTTGGGCCCCATAGCCAGAGCTCTGTCTCAGGCCCGCAGGTGGCCCAAAGACTTAGGGCTGTCTCCATGGTCTCATTCTTCGTTGTTCTCCTTTCCTCAGTGACAGTGCATCCAGCACCCCCAAGACCCCGGATGGCGCACACTCCTCTCAGGAGATAAAGTCTGAAACCTCATCTAATCCCAGCTCTCCAGAAATCTGCCCCAACAAAGAGAAGTAAGAAAGCGAGGGGAGGGAAAGTCTGGCTGTAGCCATTTGGAGCCTCCAGACAAGCAGAGAGTGACTGCCTCTTGTCTCTGGAACACAAAGGCTGGCAGGCAGGGCACAGGGAGCCACTGTGAGCAGACTCAGGTCTCTCCTGGGCTGTCCTGCTCTTGGTCTGGCAAGACCTGGAGCTGAGGGACCTCTTGCTGGTAAGTGACCAGGGCTTGCCCCTCTTCCCCTCCCCTGCAGGCCCTTCATAAAGTTGAAGGAGAACGGCCGGGCCAACATCTCCCGCTCCTCCTCCAGCACCAGCAGCTTCAGCAGCACTGCAGGGGAGGGTGAAGCCATGGAGGAGTGTGACAGTGGGGTAAGTGTGCCTGTCCCGCTTGGGAAGTGCACTTGGCACCCGGCTGGCTATACTATGCATTAAAAGAGCAATGTGGGAAAAGGTCTGCTCTGTCTGTGTGGGTGAAAGGGAGGCACAGAAATAAGAGGTGGCTCTGGAAGCTGTCACCTTCCAATGGGCACAGTGCCTGAGGCTCCTCCCGGAGCGACATAACAGCAGCAGTAGAGGAACAGGGCCAGGCTGGGTTATGTCCTTGCCATGGGGACCCTGGCTGGAGGAGAAAGGGGTTGGTGCCTCATGGGCCTGGGGCCTGGGTCTAAGGACCCTCTTGGAGGGGCAGAGGTTGAAGCCAGGGCTGAGGCAGCAGGAAGGAAAGCACAGATCCGAGCGTGGGAGGGGGAGGCAGTAGTCACCCTTGGCTTGGGGCCTCTTGGCCTACCTGGGCACAGGATCCCTGTGGTGTGCTGAGGGTGCCCTGGCCTCACTCACCCGGTCTCTCTCCCCAGAGCAGCCAGCCGTCCACAACCTCACCTTTCAAGCAGGATGTGTTTTTCTACAGCCAGTCCTCGAGCAGCGAGAGCCCTGGCCTGGGGGCAGCCGCCACCCCCATCATCATGAGTCGGAGTCCCACAGGTCAGTAGCATCTGGCGCTGTGCAGGATATGGTTGGGAGGATGGGTCCTGATTTATGTTCATGGAGCCGGTGCTCCTGGCTTGCTGTGCTGATAAGTTTCTGCTCCTCCTGAGAGGTATCAGACCCTTCCGCTCTGCTAGCTCATTTCGCCTGTCAACCCTAAGAGACCTGTGTTCTTGTCTTTATCCTACATGTGGGGAAACTGAGGCTCAGAATTGAGAATTTTAATGGAGATCCCATAGGGAGGAATTGCGATTGTGCGTTTAGAAAGCTCTCTGCTGATGTTTCACTATCAGCCATGTGGGGTCCCTCTGTCATGGTGATGACCCAGACAATACAAGGACAGGAAGGAGCAGCATGAGCGCTGGAGGAGAGGAGAGATGGAGTGCTCTGGAACTGCATGTGGCTCAGCATAGGCGGAGTTCACCGTGAGAGAAGAGAGACTAGAGGGGCCACAGGTGGGCTCCCAGGAGACCCTGGTGAGAATTGTGGTGTTAGCCTAGTTGGAGGGTCTTTAGTCTGGGCTCAAACTTGTGATCCTCCTGCCTCAACCTCCTAGCGTGCCAAGATTACAGGCATGCACCTCAGCTGCCCATGCCCAGTTTATTACCGAGCCCTTCTGTGGTTCACTTTCTTCCAGCTAAAAAACGAGGGGAGGGAATTAATAGTTTCTTTCCCGTAGGGTTGGTTGTGTGAATATTAACTGAGCTTATGCTCATGAGATGCACAATTATTAACCTAAGTGTATTAAATAATTAGAAAAAAAAAAAAAAAAACAATAGCATGATCAGCAGTTTTACATGGGGCAGTCTTGCTGTCCAGGGACCTCTGGCAGTGTCTGAAGATGTTTCATTTTTCATGACTGTGGAAGGGGGCTCCTGCTGGTATCTAGGGGTAGAGTTTAGGGATGTTGCTAAACAACGTATCACCTTTAACCCACAGTAACGAATTATCTGGCTCCAAATGGGATAGGTTGAGAAACTCTTGTCTAAGTGATAGCCATACAGGCAGGGCCAATGGGCCATTAGAGTGATTTTACCCAGATTGCTTCTGAGATTCTCACAGCAAGCGGGTATTGGTGAAAAGGGTGAGCAATGTCAAAGGGAAGATATAGGGAGGACATGGTCAGAAGCAAGAGATCCTTAGTGTTAGGGCTTCCCAGATAATGGAGCAGTTATGTGCTTCCTCTCATTCAATCCCCTGTGGTTGGGGAGCTCTGGAGCTAGATCCTGGTCATGTCACTGAAAAGCTCAACTCTCTGAGCCTCAGTTTCCTCATCTGTAAAATGGGATAGTCATACCCATTTCTTGATTTTTAAAAACAAGGCTTAAGTAAATATCAATGAAATAACTGCAGGAATCTGTAACCAAACCTAGCTCCTGTGTGGAGCTAAACAAGTACCAAAATAAATAAGATTTTGAGTAAGGGGAGAATTAGAGTCTGTGACTTGCTAAAGGCTACTCAGGGCAGAAGAGCCTGGAACAAATCTGGTAACTTGCCCAGTGTGCATTGCATCCCCTGGTGATGTGCCTTCTCATATCCCCCTTCCTTCCATGTAGTATTTATCCCTGTGGATTGCTTTCTATCTCCAGCCTTATGTATACTATGCTGGGTATTCACAGGGTCAGGGTGGGCTTGGGGAGATCAGTTGAGCTGAGTCTGGGAAGAGGCACATGGGGGTGGGTGGGAGGTGGCCTGGGAGGGCCTGACACCAAGGGTGCTCTAATCTTGGGTGCATGATCACTGGTTATTTCATGTCTGGGCTCCCTGGGTCACTCAGGGAGGTGCTTGTAACACTGGGGGGAAACCGCTTGGTTTGGAGCACCAAGAGTACTAGTCCGTAGTCTCGAGGAGGACTGAACTGAACTGTAGATTCCTCGACCCATTGGAATCCAAAGAACCAGCCCTCCTGCCAGGGGTGTAATAGTAAAGGCTTAACAGCTGGCTCCTCTATTGAAGAGGACATCAGAAAACGGAAAGATGTTCCCTGTTCCTGGATAGATAGAACCAATATTGTCAAAATGGCCATATTCCCAAAAATGTTACACAGATTCAGTGCAATCCCAATCAAAACACCAACAGCATACTCCACAGATCTAGAGGAAACCATCTAAAATAGCAAAAGTAATCTTGGGCAACAAGAGCAAAGTAGGAAGCATCATAATACCTGACTTCAAGCTATACTACAAGCAACAGTGATAAAAATGGCATAGTACTGGAGCAGAAACAGACATGTGGATCAGTGGAACAAAAGGGAGGATACAGAAACATCCCCAGACACATTCAGCTGTTTGATCTCTGACAAAGAGGCCACAAGCTATGTTGGAGGAAAGACAGCCTATTCAACAAACGGTGCTGAGAAAACTGGCTATGTGTTCGCAGAAGATTTAAGCAGGACCCATATCTCTACCATGTACTAAACTAAAATCAAAATAGATCAAATATCTAAATACTAAAACAGAGACATTGAACCTACTGGAAGACAAAGTAGGTAAAACACTTGAAGTCATAGGTGTGAGAAAGGATTTTTTAAAAAATACAACTCCAGCTGCATAAGAAATAAAAGCAAGAATCAATAAATGGGATTACATCAAAAGCTTCTGCACAGCAAAGGAATCAATTAGTAGAGTGAAGCAACAACCTACAGAACGGGAAAATTATTTTGCCAGCTACTCCTCAGACAGAAGACTAATATCTAGAATATAAAAAGAACTAAAACAAAAAAATAGGCCACTTAAAATAAAAGACCCAATCAAGAAATAGGCAAGTGAAATGAATAGACCCTTCTCAGGAGAAGAAGTACAAATGGCTGACAAAAATATGAAAAAATGTTCAACATCTCTGGCTGTTAGAGAAATACAAATTAAAACAGCTTAAGAGTCTGTCTCACATCAGAAAGAATGGCGGTCATTAAGAAGTCAAAGAATAACTAATGCTGGAGTGGCTGCGGTGAAAAAGGAATCTCCCTGCGCTGTTGGTGGGAATGTAAATTAGCACAACCATTATGGAAGTCAGTATGGAGATTTCTCAAAAAACTAAAATTAGAAATTCTGTATGACCCAGCTATTGCTTTTTTGGGTGTCTTCCCCCAATAGCTAAAAAAGGCATATTACAGTGATGCATGCATCCCAGTGTTTATAGCAGCACAATTTTAATAGCTAAATCCTGGAAGCAGCTGGTATACCCATCAACGGACAAATGGATAAAGACAAATGTGCTTTCTGTACATAACTGAATACTCCGTGACTACAAAGAAGGGTAAATTTGAGATGATTATAGGAAAATGGGTGCATCTGGAAAACGTGTTTTTTTTTAAAATTAGATTTTATTGGTACATTTTAGATATACATAATCATCACATTCATCAAAGAGAATTTGTACTTGTACATGATATAACTTGTTTTTTTACCCCATTCTCCTACTCTCCCTTCAACCCCTCCTTCAACCCCTTCTCCCCTCCCTATTTACAAAGCTTTGTGGGAAAATGTAATGCTGAGTGAAATAAACCAGATACACAAGCTTAAATACCATATGGTATCTCTCATTTGAGCAAGGCAAAGTATAAACAAAGAGCATAATAAGGGGTGGATAGGAGGAGATAGGGATTAGATCTTTTGCAAATGAGAAGGAGTCCAGGAGACCGAGGGAGAGGCTAGAGGGGGTTAGAAGGGAAAGTAAAGAGAACTAAGTTATGCCATGCACAGGAACCTAATAATCTCAATGAATGTAAATATTATGTTTCATAAACGCGAGTAAAAATAATAATGAGAATGAAAATGGGGAAAGAGGATTTAGAGAGAGGTGGGTGGGAAGGGGATTTTAAAAAACAGAACTCAGCTATATTATGTACATGTACCCACTCCCCAAGATGAATGTAACTTCATGTACTACAAACATGTATTAATGAAACACAAATAATAAATCAATAAAATATTTCTCGTAATAAAAGGGACCCCTCTGCTATACACCCACGCACATGCATGCACTTATTCTAAATTTTACTAATATGATGAATCAGAAGCCCAGTTTACAAATAATGATAAAATACACACTATTCCTTACTGTAAATCCCATATATCCAATGGATTTTCACAAGACACTTCTGTTGATATTTCTCTAAATTTTGTACCATAGCCAGCTTAAGGTTGCAGATCATGAATGTGGTTCCAACATGACTGTTGCTTAATGCAACGTATGTAAATGACTGCTGTATACTAAGAGCTTTATTCCTGTGTGGGTGATGTGAGCAACTTTCTTGCTGAGTTGGAAAATAGTTCTCAAATACTGGAATATTTACTCAGCCTCTTGATGTAGTTCACAGTGTAATGGTTGCAGATACTACACTGTTTTAATTTTTAATTTTTGGTTTTTTTTTTTTGCTATAGGGGGGATCAAACCTGGGCTCTTAGTGCTAAGCTATATCCCTAGCCCATTTTTATTTTTTATTTTGAGGCAAGGCCTTCCTAAGCTGCTAAGTTGCCCAGACTGGGCCCCAACTTATGATCCTTCTGCCCCAGCCTCCCTAGGATTACAGGTGTGCACCACCACACCGGGCTCTACACAACACATTTTAAAGTTTAACCCACATTATTATTTTCACCATAGTTTCTTAAGGCTAGACAACAAATTATAAGTCATGCTCTGACTCGTAGCATTGGCCAGTTTTTGTGGTGTGAATATTCCTATCATGACCAATTTTAAGCTCTCACTGTGACGTCCCTGGCAACAGATACACAGCCACTTTCGTAGGCTATTTCTACCATATGGATGTAGCAGACAGAAGAGGATATGTAAGAATAGTAAACTTAGTAAATAACGAGAAAGTGAATTCTGAGAATTCGTTATCTTCTTTGAATATAATCTACTTGTAAACCTATAAATTTAATTTTAAAAAATGACCTATGTTTAGCAGCCAGCTCATGACATTGCTAATCTAGTCTAGCATGCCTTAAGGAGAGGTGGAATCTCTTTCTCCCCGCCACTCGGTTCAGCTAGAATGGCCTCTATAGATCCACCTCCTTTTCATGGACATTCTTCTTTTCTTAGATGCCAAAAGCAGAAATTCCCCGAGATCAAACCTGAAATTCCGCTTTGATAAGCTCAGCCACGCCAGCTCCAGTGGGGTAAGCATCCAGGGTGTGGGGCAGCTCCTTAACCTAATCTCCTCTGAGCCAGCTTCCTTGCCCGAAGGCTGCAGGGGGAGCACATCGCGGATATTACATGGGGGTCCCCTGAGGGAGGCAGAGAGAAGATGGCTCTGACCAGATCTGGGGGTGATGCTGTCTATATGGTGGAGGCACCTGCCAGGGATTTACCAGCTGTCTTGGCTACACTTCTTACATCACAGCCACACTCTTGGGCGTAACTATGCCCACACATGAGTCCTGAATTCCTGGCTCCCTGGGCCTTCTGCCCTTTCTTGAGGTCACCATAGTGTTGAGAGTTGAACGCACAGAAGCTGAGTGTCAAGCAGATTGTTGTCTGGTTATTTAAAACTCATATAGCTATTTCCTGGAACAGGGTCACTAATGTGAGTGAAGAATTCTTCTGCTGTCCAAGGTGAGGTGAGTGAGTGCTTGTCCTGAGGTGGCCATGAGGGGAGAGCATGGTACCAAGGGCCTTAGGCCCTGAGAATGGCCACACAGACCCTGCCAGTTGGGGAGGGTCCCCACAGTGGCTTTGGCCCTACAGCCTCTATGATGGGCCTCCCCAGGTCTGTGAGGGGAAGAAGGGACTGATGCTGTGGGTGTGATGGAAAGGGTTGCCCGCGGGACTGGGGGAGGCTCATTACGTAGGTCTCCCCCCACTGGGTGACCCCGGTTCCAGCAGGCAGAAGAGGCAGTCACAGCTCACCTCCTTCTCTAGAGGGAGGAGCTTCTCAGCTTGTTCTGGCTTCCCTGCTCCCAGGCAGCCTTTCCCTCCCTTCTGTGTCTGAATAAGGCCGTAAGTTGAAATGTGCCCTTCCTACATGCCAAGGAGTGCCCCTGCCCGCAGATGCTATGAGAGACAGTCCCAGGGGCTTCGGCCCCCACAGCTTGCCTCCCCCTGGGGAGCTTGTGGTCCCAGCAGGGCAGGGCGAGTCCACTTGCCATTAAGGCCCAAACTGCTCATGAAGTCAGGACCGTCTGACCCCCAGCTGCACTCCAACTTTTCCTGTCTGGGGCTCCCAGTGGTCTCAGTTGGGTCCAAGGGGAAGGGTATGCCTGAACCCATTTTATATTAAATGTATTATGAGAAAAAAAGAGAAAATGGGAATGTCTACATCGACCTCCACCGTCTGTCATGGACTTTCTGTGCCTCTGTTTACCAGAATGCTGCTTATGCCCAGCTTCTGGGGATGGGTGGATAAAGCTGGTCTCCCTTGTTCAGGGTGTAGTTGGTGGCCCGCAGTCAGGGATGTTGTGTGGGCCCCAGCCCTTTGTCCTGAGTGTATTTCTCCCCTTCCTTTGCCAAATGTGTGCTCATTGTCTCCTGCATTGCCTCTTCCAGGGAAGCCCTGATTCTGTCCTGCAGAAGGCTCCTATTCCAGCAGTTTGGGGGTGCCGTCCACTACTCTGATCGTCACAGGCCCACCAGACCAGCTGTCTGTCCTGTGTCCTGACCTGGTCACAGTCTTGCTGGGTCCTTCGCCAACACACCTTCATCTCTGGACAAGACCTTTTCTTGGAGGCTCTCCTGCTCCTGACCTCCCAGTGTGGTGTCTGTCTGGATCATTTGCCCACTTGTTTGTCTGTAGGAAAGACAGTTGGGGAAGGGGGCTCTTGGTACTTGGGCTTAGCCAGAGATGTGGAAGCTCATCTGCTCCAGAGGCAGAGAGAGTGCTGGGTGGGGAGCAGAGGTAAAAGCAGAATATAAAGTGGGCCCATTTGTCCTTGATCACAGTGCAGTGCCCTCCCGGGCATGGTAGGAAGGAGCTTTACTACCATCCATGCGTGGAGTAGAGGTGCAGGGGTTGCTTCCCCAGAGCCAAAATTTGTAGCATCCTCGAGGCTGTCCTGATAAAGACAGCTCCTTTGTTCCTGTTTCTCTGGAGCTCCAAAAACAAATCTCCCTGCTCTGTGTTAAGTACTATAGACCCATCAGTTGGCACAGGCCAGGGCTGCTGCATTCCCACTGTCAGTGCACCTTGAGCCAGGCTCTTGCAGGTGGAAGCTCCAAGACAGACCTGGATGTGTCTGGGACCATTGCTGCATACTTCCTTGACTGTAGCTGCAACTTTTTTCTTGTTTAATTTCATGCAGGTTCTGATTATCCTAGCTGTGGAAGAAGCCCCAAGCAATCACTCCCCTTTGAGCAGATATTTTTCCCCATGAAGGAGTGGGAAGCCAGGAGTGAGAAGGAATTCAGGGAGAATGAACAAGCCAGTGCTGGGGGATCACTGGTCAATAACCTCAGGGCCCAAGGGCTCAGCAGGAGTCTGTGGGATCCAGATCTCTGATGCTTGTAGAGGTTCAGGGAAGACTTAAATGGTTATTTAAACCACCCATTTATAAGAGAGGGAAAAGGGTAGAAGGGGGATGACTTGGCAGGTTCTGGTCAGGCCGGTGTGTAGGGGTTGAACTTAGGCATGTGTGGAGGAACACACTGTCCCTCAGCAATCATGCCCCTGCCCTTTGCTGGGGAGTGGGCAGTGCTGCCTGAAGTTCCACTTCTGGCTTCTGTGCCCATTGACTGTGTCTGGGGCGTGATCCCCTGGTCCTTCTCTTCCCTGTTCAATTGCAGGTCTGTAGGTGGTTGTTGCATCGGTAGGATTTCTGCAGGCAGGGCCCCATCTGGCCGTGTGGTTCAGACACTGCATGCCGCCCCTCACCAGCGCCACCTTCTCTGGGATGATGAGCCAGCTTGTCCCGGGGAACAGCCCTGCTGGCTCCTCGCCTGTCCAAGTCTGCAGGGCGTTTCTGCTGCTGGCTTTAGAGTGGGGTGTCTGCCAAGTGAAACACAGAGTTTTAACAGATCTTTGGAGGTTTTGCAGCCTCAAGTGCATATGTGCCTTTGGGGCAGGGCTGCTGGGGTGACACAAGCTGGGCTCCCTGCTTTAATGAACAGATGACAAGATTTCCAGTCAAGTGCTTTATCTGTATTAGGGATCTGGACTAGCAAGCCAAAGCTTAGAAATGGGACACATTTTTTTGAACTGACATTGTAACTGTTTCTCCATTGCTTTTGCCATTAAGACAAACTTGATATTTGTGTTTCCTGTTCACCTATTCGATCCTCCTTACAGCCCAGAGGGCACCCCGCCCCTCACCCTATTTGAGAAATGTGCTTACATACAATACTAGTTTGGTAAGATTTATCTAGTTAGAAGGTCAACAAAATATCTGTTTAGCTTTTATGAAAAGTCAGTGTAGCAGCACCCATTGCTGGACTGAGGCCTGTGGATTCTGGCAGGGTTTTGTTGGCTGGGTTTCTGAAGGAACTTGAAAGGTCAAACTGTGAAAACTCTTACAGGGTTCTGGCTCACCTCTCTAAGTAGCCAGTATTTAGAGATGCCTGATGAGTGTGCTGTGATGCATTATGGTCTGGAGTCCTCTGGGCTTTCCAAGTTGTTCTCATGCTGTCATACTGGGGAACCTCATATTTTCCTGTCACCACTGCTCTGGCTGCTCCCTTTGCAGTCCCCACCTCCCGGTAGTGCCTCTAGGCCAGTGGGCAGGATGGCAGGGTGTGTGCAGGGGAACCGGGAGGCACAAGTCTGCCCTCACAGAGGCCCAGACCTGGGATGTGGTCTCCTCTCTCACTGTACTGTTGAGGTGCTCAGGGCAGGATCAGATATGCCCCTTCCCCCTGGGCCACGCCTCGCCTATGGTTTCCGGTGTGTGTACTAGCAGCCTGCCTGAGGTCCCCATGCTGAGAGGGAGGAGAACGAGGATGGGGTCCTTTTTCCCTTCACTCTTCTGGGCTGTGGGCAGCGTCTCCTGTTCCTGGAGGGCTTCTGCCCCCACAGTCTGATCCAAAATATCTTTCCCTTTATTGCTGCACTTAGTCATGGGGCTCAGGCCTGCGTAGATGGTGCTCACTCTGGTATTTGGGGCATTTCCAATGTGACCTTCATGAGGGGTTCACATCTCTGCCCCTGAGGCCACCCGACTCACTGCAGAAACTATCCTTTCCAGGTGCCACGGGGCACCCAGATGCCTCCCGCTCCACTGATGTTTAAAAGCAGATGCAGAAAAGCTTGAGATGGAAGGTCTGAGCCAGAGTTCCTGTCTGTGGTAATGAACGTCAAACAGTGTTTCCTGGAACATACTCAGCTTCGTAGGCATCACTTTGATGCCCAGCCCTTCTGGCTCATTTCAGCGTCTCCTCCAGCCGTGTTGTTGTCTAGATGAGAAACCTTAGCTCCAGGGAGAGAAAAGAACTTGCTTGAGGTCACACAGCTAGCTAGTGGCAAAGCTAAGACTGGAGCCCACAACCCAAGGCCCTTTCCTGTGCACCAGCTACATAGCTGGTAGAGCAAGTGGCTGCATTTCCTGGGCCAGGGTCCCTCCCTCATTGGCTGGGGCCTTGGCTCCAGCGGGGAGAGGTCAGCAGTGGAAGTGTGCTGATGGGACCTCAGTCTCTGCTGCTTTCCATGGAGGGCTCTTTTAGATTGGTCACCAAGGGTCCTGGATTTAGGGTGCAGCTTGAGCAAAGAAAACAGGGAGGGAAAGAGATTCCTGACAAACTGGTCCTTAGTTCTTCAGAGGCAGAGGCCAGGGCAAAGGTGCAGTCAGCCACTCTTGGTTTCCTTGCACTAAATCATGATGGAAGGAAAAAGGAAACTATTCATTTCTCCCTCGCTCCCACCCCCTGTGGTGCTGGGGATGGAACTCAGGGCCTCATGCACGCTGGACAAGGGCTGTACTACTGAGCTACACCTCAGCCTCTTCCTGATACTTAAATGAAGGTGGTTAATTAAGGTGGGGCATAGCCTATTTCCCTTTCCTTACCCTGACCCATGAAGGTGCCAGCTCAAACACTACCTTTTCAATGTATCTTAGTAGAGACCAGTCTGTTGTTGGGGAGTAGTTGGGGGATTCAAGTAGATCTTATGGCTCCAGGGGCCAGCAGGGACCAGGCCAGTCTACCACACAGAACCTCATGGCTCCTTCTCCAGCCTCCAGCTACCACCTTATCAAAGGCAAGGGCTGGTCCCTGAAGTTTGCCGTGCTGTTCCTGCAATCTGGTGAGGGGCAGTGAGGGGCGTTTTTCTTCCAAGCCCTGGAATCTGTTTTTCCATTAGTCCCTTTCCCTCCCCAGCTCACACCCCTCTCCTTTCAGAGGGGCCAAGCGCCCCCTGGAAAGAAGACAATCCCCTAGGGTGAAGGGCAGTGGAGCCCTGTCTGGTGAGAGGCTAGCAGGCAGTGCTCTGTACTTTGCCTTACCAGCTCTGGGGAGAGGGTGTTTGCTTGGCAGATTGGAATTTAATTGCCATCGTCTTTGATTTTGTGACATTTCTGCTTGGAAGGGTGAAACTCTCCTTCCCACTCCCTAGCATGTGTGCCAACTCTCCCTTGTCGTGGGTGTTACCCTCTTAACACTCCAGCTCAGGGAGTGCTGACATCTCTGTGTGAAGAGATTCTTGTGTGGTAGAACCTAAGAAGTGTAGCTTGGAAGTGATCCCTGTGACGATGACTTTTCCTTCTTTCCTCTTAGTGAGGAGGTGAATTGTAGACCCTGACTGCCTATGTAATGTAAATAGTGTACATTTAATTTATTGCTATGGTAGCATATTGTATTTGTTAATGTATAAAACAAATTCTAAAAGGTTGACAAATGTATATTTTGTTGCTTAAATGTGTCTTTGCAGAAATTGACATTAAATAACATATTTTGTGTCCATCCGTGTTCAGACTTCTTTGCATGGGGCTGTAGGCCTGGGGGATGACCTTTCAGTTTATAAAGATTCCATATTAGCTGGCCAGCAGCTAGCTGACTTTGGCTCCAAAAGCGTTTCAAAAGTTTGTAATGAACCATCAATGTTTAAAGAACTCACTATGACTTGAGAAAAAAAAAAGCACCTAGAAATTTCACATTAAAATTTCAGTTTTCTGCTCTTAAAAAAATGAGATGCTAAGTCCCCTCAGGCATGAACTGGAGACTCCAGAGCTCGCTGGAGTCTGTCCCTTTAGGTGGGACCTGAGTACACCTCAGTCTCCACTCTTCTGTATTGTTCACCTCTGAAGCATTTCACTCATTCCCATTACTTGCTTAGCTTCTGTAGACAGTGTATGAGACTCCTACTATGCACTAATTTGTCTCCACCCTGTAATTTTCTTTTTCTGTCCACTTTCTTTCTCTAATTTCTGATTCACTTCGGGAAGGATTCTTTCATGACTAAAATACCTTCTCTTCCTCCATGACCTCAAATGGCCCTGGTCTTTCATACATGTTGCTATACTCTGTTTGGATGCAGATTCAGAATTAATACCAATATGCTTTTTCTTAAGAAGTTTGAAGGTAAGGAATAGGTCTTGAGTACCTACCAGGGCCTGGTTTTGTGATCTTGGGTAAACTATGTCACTTCCCATGGTTTATATTTTTTAAATGTATTATAAGGAGTATAATTCATGTATAAAGCATGAGGACACAACAGAATTCATAAGTGGAAAAGAGCTTTGAAAAAATGACAAGTATTCTTCAGTCACTAGAGGTTAGATGATAATACCAATAGTAACAGCTGTTATCACAGTTTGACTATATGCTGATTGTTTTACATATGTAGTCAGTTTTGTTGTATGACATCATACCTGTTCTTAAAAATACGCCACTATGTAAAATCGTACAATTGCAGAGTTTATGGGGAAAATAGGGCTAGGTACTGTCTTAGTTACTTTTCTAGTTGCTGAGATAAAATACGCAACACCAAAAGTTAAAGGAGGAAAGGTTTATTTAGCTCACAGTTTATAAAGATTTCAGTCCATAATTGGCTGACTCCGGGGTAGGGTGGTGTGGCACATAGGCATCACAGAGGAGAAACAGTTCATGGCAGGCAGAAGGTAGCAAAACAAGCAAGGGTTGACCACACCTCTTTCTATCCCTTATATCTCATCCAGGCTACTCAGGGTGCATAGCATTCACACCCTTAATCCTAGTGTCCTTGAACCAAGCACTGCACCAACAGTTAATCCTGGGATCACACACTCTAGATCCAGCCACCCCTGAAAAAGCCTCACCTATGACTGCAGGAGGCTTTAGGAAGACATCTAGACACAAGTCAACAGGTAACATACCACTCAAAAATTTTAGTAACACATAGAATAAATAGGAACTTAATAAAACTGGTTGTATAATTCTATCCATGTTAAATAAGAAACATATAAATACTATAATAAGGCATTGCAGCTTGAAAAAGATGAATTTGCTTATGGAAGTGGGCTTTAGAAGGATTACCATTTATGAATTATTGTGACAAGTAGTGAGAACTTCTGAAATTGGATGGGCAGCTGTAATACAGATGTCGGTAGGTGTAGCCCATAGCACATGTGGTTCAGTGAGGTAGCTGGTAAATGTCTAAGGTGTGTGTATGTGTTTCTGTGTGCCTTGGTTTAACTGCAGTGTTCTGCATTCATATTATGTTTCTCATGGATGAGTTGCATAATCAAAAGCACAATTCACATTATATTCATTTCCTATTACATCAATTGTAGTGGGCCAGATTCTTACTTTAAAAACACATGTTATAGTATAACTGACTATAATCTCATTTAATGACCAATTAAGACATGTATTATTATTTCCATTTCACTTAAGGGATCAGAATTACATTTTAGCTTGGAACCCAGATTTGGTATGCTGATCTCACAATGAAGGTAAGTGCCAAGCTGTTGGGAGTTCTGGATGCACAGAAATGCACCAGGTAAAATGTAGCTCAGTGCTCTTTGATTTCCCTGCCCAGCCTAGAGCTCTTCCTGGAACCCTATCTTCGGCCTCTCATGTCCAGACTGAGAAGCAGACACCATGACATGTTAAGCAGTACCTTTCTTGAGCCCATGATTTCAGGCTTCCTAATTCTCAGAGCTTTAGATTCCATCTGTTCAGTCTCCACGGCTGCAGGTGAGGCTGCATCTTTCACACGAATGTTCTCTGCTTGTTTGCACCTCACAGTTTGGCTGCTGCTTGGGGTCAGCCCTTCTTCCAGGAAGCTGAGAAGTCACTTAAGGCTGGAGCCTTGTGGATGTTGAGCACTTATTTTTTGTATGGGAAAGTGCTGTAGGAGACATTGATGCCATTCAGCTAGATCAGTTGCTGATCCTCCAAGCTTTGAGAACCTTTAGTCAAGGTGTGTGTTCAAATGTTCTCCACCAGCTGGGCACCTCTCCAAATCGGGGGCTTAGTTTTAGGACTCTTGAAATCTTTGTCTCCCACTTCAGTGTCTAACAGTTATAGCAGTCCTTAGGCAGCTGGTGGGACACTAGTCTGCCTAATCCAAGGGGGAAATGCTTGGCTGAGGATTTTGGTCAGGCTGGTCAAGCTGTGCTCAGGTTTTCTATCAGCCTTGTTTCCCATCCACTATGTTCAAGATGCTACCAAGGAGCTGTGCTCTGAGCAACCTTTGTTGCTCTCTACGTATCTGGCACCAGGAATATATTACAGTCTCATTCTGTAACTGTACAGTAACTCTCAGTTATTAAAATAACCCCATTTCAGTTCATACTCCATCTTGTTTTAAACTTCATTCTATTTAAAGCTCAACACCTCCAGGTAGGCTGGCCTGGCAGGTCCAGGGTCTTCCCTTGGGTTGTGGAAAGGACTTACCCAGCTCATCTGAGCCCTCTTATGGACTAGCCTTTATTATTGAGACCAATTTTAGCCAAGAATTCTAACCTGGTTTGAGAACCCTTATTGTTGATAGCCAATCCAATCACTTCCTTCATTCTCGATGCCTAACCAAGTTCCCCTTCATAATTTTCCAACTAAGAAAATTACAGGCTCTGAAAATTGGCTACAAATCCCCACTTGTCCCTGTCATGTTCAAGGTTGAGTTCGATCTCTCCCCCATCACAATAGTTTTGAATAAATTCTGCCTTGCCTGTTTACTTCCATCTGGTGCAGGTTTTCTCTACTAACTGGCTGCTTGCCTTCCTACCTGTCACAGTTACTTTTTTATTGCTGAGACAAAATAGCCAACAGCCACAAATTAAAGGATGAGAGGTTTATTTTAGCTCACAGTTTGTAGAGGTTTCAGCCCATGGTCAGCTGGCTGTAAGGCAAGGCAGCATGGCAGAGGGACATGGCAGAGGAGAAGCAGTCCACAGCACAATAGGCAGCAAGCCTATTGGTTTCCTTTGTATGCCATCCAGGCTACAAGCCTGTTGGTCTGTGCCACCCACACTTAGCTGAGGCCTTTTCATTGTCCATACCCAGAAGTATGCTAAACCAATCAGTGGACTAATTTAGTTGCCACACACCCTTAATCCATCTTCACACACCCTAGATCTAGCTACCTCCCAAAAGCCCCATCTATAAGTACATGAAGCTTTGGGAGTTATCTGGATACAAGCTGTAACCCCTCCCCCATCTCCTCTGCACTTCCAGACCAGTCGGGGTTGGGAGGAGAGAGGCAAAAGCGACCTCTTGTTTTGAGACTGCTGGTTACAGTACTTTGAGAAGCAGACACCAAGCCATGAATGACACATTCTTTAGGGAAAAGGCTTGTGAGAAGGGGTGGGGAAGGAGCTAGAGAAGGCTGGAAAGCTGTCATTTGTCAAGAAGGTCTGAGTGAAGGAGCGAGGGAGGGAGGAAGGAAGGTGGGGCAGAAGCATCTAAGGTAGCAGTATAGCTTTAAAGAAGAATTCAGCAAGGCCAGTGGGGGACTCATCTAGCTGAGGTTATCCAACAGAGGAGTGCTCCATATCCCAAGTATGATCCTAAAATTACTACCCCTACCACATCCAGTCATTGGGTGGGTGCAGCCTGTGGGAAGCCTGGCTTCAGTGTAGCTGTCGTCCAAACCCACAGTTGGAGGACTGATGGGCTGATGGTCTCAGTCCTCATCTGAGTCTGAAGACCTGAGAACCAGGCATGTCTAAGGCAGGAGAAGATGGACGTTGCACAGCTGGAGCAGAAAGAGTGAATTTGCCCTTCACACTTCATTCCTTTCATATCCTCAATGGAATGGATGACACCCATGGGCATTGGTAAGGGGGATCTTTACTCAGTCTACTGATTCAAACACTAGTGGAAGCATCTTTACCAACACACCTAGACATCATGTTTTACAAGTTATCTGGGCATCCCTTAGCTTCATCAAGTTGACACACAAAACTAACTATCACACAGGTCAAACGTGCCCCCTCCTTTGTGCAGCCAGCTCTCCCCATATATTGCCTGAGAAATGAGGGGGTAGAGTTGGTTTTATTATGGTTCTGATGCAGGGGTGCCTCTCTGCATGTCTGATGGGGGTCTGTGGCTGACTCTAGTGACTCTGATGGTCTCTGAATTCAGAGTGTGAATTTGGTGGGTCTCTGCTACAGTCCATGCAGAACTCTCCCCTCAGTCATTTAATGGTGCCCTCTGTGTTCCCATGGCTGGTCTTGTTTGTGGGAACCAGAGTTAAGTTCCAGAGAGGAAACCCAAGACATAGTTTTGGCACATAAGGGTAGGGACCCAGAGACTTTCCACCTCCATTTCTTGAGGTAGAGATGATACCTGCTGGAGGCATCCAAGTCTGGAGGGACCTAGTAGAAAATCATATTTAAATTTAGAACAGTCCTTTCATACTTAAGAACGGATGCTTTCTGAATTACTTTTTTCATTGCTGAGACAAGATACCCAGCACCCAAAGTTAAAGGAGGAAAGGTTTTTTTTTGCAGCTCACAGCTCATCGTTGGCTGGCTACA